AGATGAATCTTTCGTACAGTCAGCGAAAACATGGGCAAGTGGGATATCACTCCTCTAATCATACGTGTGCATTACTGTTTAGTTAATGTTTAAATATCAAAGTGTGCGTACATTTTATCCCCCCCCCCCCACCAATATAATAAGTAAAGCATTTTAAGAATAAAATGCGTAAAAGATTAATTACACTTATAATTAAGAAATTCGTTGACATGTTTCAAGTACATGACTAATTCAGAGAAAAAAATATGGTAAAATAAAATTATGAATTTTAGATAAAAAATCAATATTGCACCGCAAAATGATTTTTGAGTACAACGAAACATCTCGATTTGAAATCGAGATTTTTTTATTAGATTTATTAGAGATTTATTAGAGATCATTACAAAACGGTTCACGTTTTGTACACTTGCTGATTATGACCCACGACTTGAGATCGTAATAGTTGAAATATGAATTTAGAATATACGTTTGAAGTATTATTCATGTAGCCTACAACTAACTTCAAACTTCTAATTTGTTATACATAAAATTGTGTTAGTTAAACGCAGAATAAAAATGTAAGTAATTAAAATGATTTCAAGAATATTACATGTAGTTTTATATCGAGAAATCTTAGTTACAACAGACAGATACGCTATTGCTTTTAAATAATAAAGAATAAATATTCTAAATAATAAAGACCAGATTATAACAAATTTAATTATGCGTTTTCTTTTTAAAATATTTTCTCAGCACCGAAATTAAAATCTATCTAAACCTAATTAATTTGGGGAGTGCAGATAACATCCATGAAAAATTATAAGATGTAATAATATAAGGCGGTTATAAGTAAAAAGAAGATGCACAAAGAATGCAAATTATAAGTGTTAAAAAATCGAAAGCGACAGAATTGCACAAAACAATTTAAAAAGAATTTTATAATTGATACTTCAAATGTGAATACATATATGTACAAATAGTCTAGATAGACAAAAACTATAAATTTTTTTAAAGGACATAATAATAATTACTACAATGAAAATACTAACAAAGATAATAAAAATGTATACTGAATTTATATCTGTATATTTGAAGTATAGTTGAAGAAATGATTGTTTTCTTTAATGAATTTAAATGTTTTTAAATAATTTACAATCTAGATTATAATTCAAAATAAAATTTCATTTAAAAAGTTTAAAATCATTGAAATTATCACAAAAATTTAAATAATAAATTTATCAAGATGTGAACACTTATCAAATAATATAAAATAATATGAAATTCAACTGAAAGTCAACAATATTTATATTAACATATCTGTAAATTTAAAAAATATTATAAAATAAAATTTCCCTTTAAAAATTAAAAATTTTTATAAATATTTTAATTTCTAACAGATAAATAAAATGTTAGTGTAATCCATACTATTATTCCGAATAGCGTAAATATGTAAAACATGTATTTAGAAAAATATTTAGAAATTAATTTGTAACTTAATATGAATTAAGTAATTTTTTGTTTAATATTATTTATGTAATATGCTAACCCAAGTACAGCAAAATATTCAATAAAAATTTAAACGTGCGAAGAAATTCTTTTAGCAAGATTATGAGGTGTGAAATGTCAACAATTTTATATAAAATATAAATTCGTTGTATATTTCTGCTAGTTTTAAATTAGAGATTGTTTATTAAATTTATTATTCGAGGTGCCAAACTGCTTATTAAAGAATTTACAATAGCAAAACTTATTTATTCTAAGCTTCATTCAGTTGTCAAATATTGAAAAAGTTTCATTAATGTTTTGTAAAATTCTATTTGATTAATTAATAATTGATCTAATCACAAGTAATTTCACAACACTTGTGTAATTTTTATTGAAATAATTATAATAACTTGAAAAAATAATTGATTTTGAAAATTGTAATCAAATAGTTTTAAATACTTTTGAAAGTTAAATGTATGATGGACATAATTAATCATCTTATATTTAATAAGAAACGTTTTAATATTAAACAAATTAATATTTTTCGAGCATATTAGAGTAGCGCGACAAATCTTTCTCCAATACATTATAAATATCAAATTGATTCTCAAAATTCACATAAAATTTTAGCTGTTTAATGTTTAATGCTCTTCACGTAATGGATACAAGGTAAAATCAACGAAGTTACCACATATAATTCTAGTACGATGTATAGTTCTTTCTAAATAGAAATCAGCAAATAAATTACATTAAAAAAGTATTTCAATAATTTATCAATACTTTAGTGCAATAATTACTGCAGATTACACTTACGTCGCTATTACATAACTTATAGTTCTTCAAATTGTTGATTATTAATTTTTTATAAAAAAATGATACTTCGCCGTTTCAAACATAATATATAAATAATGTTTTATGAAATATATGTTGTTATTGTTTAATTAATTATTATTGCTCTCTGATTTTTAATTATGAATTAATTGTTTTATATAAAAAAAAACTTTTATTTTCATGATAGTATTAGTTCAACAATTTTATTCATTAATTTTACTATTAGTAGGATAATTTTAAATAATTAATAATTTTTTAATAGATTTATTTTAGCAAAATTAGTATACTAAAATAATTTTATGTTTTACCAAGTCATTTATAGATTATACCATTGATAACATATTATTAAATTTTTATTGTAACATTGGATATGAATAATTTTTTTTTAAATTCGTTAGTTACTATTTTTATATTCCACCACACTATGCAAATGTGTTGAATGTGATGAAAAAATGTATTGATAAAACGTATTAAAAAAAATGTTCTGTTATACACCTCTATATAATAAATACAAGAATAAGCATATTATAAAAAAAAACATCCTTGGAGCTTCGATGTTTTAATACATATGTTACAACTTAGATAATTAAGAGCATAAAGAATAATTAAACAACTTGTAGAAATTTATCAATTTATACTTCATTTGTGATTGTACTGTGAAACTTTAGTAAATACGTAATATTTAAATATTATTAATTTGATAATTTGATAGTATGTAAACATACCTATTATAAAAATACCTATAAAAGTTTTGAAAATATAAAAATTTCATTCTTAGTTAATAAATCATGAATTTTTAAATTTAATTTTATAATACTTTGTTGGCTTTATAACTACAAGTTTATAGAGCATACTAGTGGAAGTAATTAAATTTTAGAAAATTCCGTATGCTCAATTAATGTTATGATGTTTAATTTCAAGTAACTGTGCATGATTGTTTTTGTGTTTCCATAACGTCGGTAAGCATAAATTTAAAATAAATATTTGTCTTTACATTTTTTTTTATAATTGAGTTAAATAAAATTTTTTTTAGTGAAAAAACAACAGCACATTCCCCTTAATTTAATTGAGAGCCATTAGCGTGTTGCTTAAGCTTTATTATGTATTAATCATTCAAGTTCTCTCATTAAACGATTATTTCATTTATCTTCCAAACCGATAAAATTTTTAATATTTTTCTATTCGGTTATTGGAAAAAAAAAAAATTATACCTTTTCAATTAAAAATAGGTAATTATACAAAGATGTCTAATCTTAAGAACTAATCTAAGTTTAAAAAGTAAAATTAATTTAAATTAAAAAATAAATTATTACATAATTTTCTTTTATAATTAAGTTTGCATAAGTTTCTAGTTTAAGGGAAAATGTTACTATTATAAACATATGAACATTCAAATAAAAACAAATTGATTTTATTTTACTTTAAAGCAACGAACATTTTAAATATACGTTAAGATATGGTTTGTATTATATTCTTAAGTCCAAAACGTAAAATTCAATTTTAATTCGATTGTAGGTAAGTGATTTTCTTATCGTTTGATTATGGAAAATACAATTTTGTAATTTATTTTGGTTTAAAGTTTCTCCTTTGATTTGTATTAGGTAATTTATATTTTTTTGTAATTTCATTTATATTTTTATCGTATAAAAACCAATACTTTTCAATACATGAAATTCAATACTTGAAACTGCTTATTTTTCTTTTTAAATAAGTCAAAGAATAAATAAATGAATTCATAAAAATTAAAAAATATATTTTTATATAATAATATATGTTTTGATTTCGACTTTAGATAAATAAACTATAAAATACAAAAATATATATTTTTCGTATATTTTAAATTATTTATTATACTGCATACATTTTAGTAATTTACATTGAATACCTAATTTTCATATTTTTACTTAAAGTATATAAATGTGAATAATACACAAAAACAAAAGAAACTCAATTTGTATAATTACACATCAATACTACTCTTCTTTGTGCGTCACTTTCCTGTTCAATAAATGTTTATTTAATGTGAATTACTAAAGACAATTTTTTCAATTGTAAAAGATAACCTCAACTAGGATTCTCATTATATTAATACAACTTCTGATATGTCATAATAATTATTAATATTTTTCAGATTTTTAAATCTTGAACAAATTTTTACACAAAAAATAAAATGGTTTTTCAAATAAAAGAATATTTGTTGTAATATTCTATATAATATTTTGATATATTTGAAAGCCATTGAAGTTCTTGTGAATAATTTAAACAAAAAAATTTAGCAACGTAGAACAATTATATTATTCATATTTTATTCATAAAATATTAATTGAACTAACATAGATCAATAATATTGGCAAATATTATCATATTTGGACCGGACATCATCAAGTCTAGCTATCTAGAACGTCTTTCACTCGAGAGAAAAAAGGAAATAAAATTTAAGTTATTAAGTTTTGGCGGGTAATTAAAGGATTGAAAGCATATTAATCAATATTAACCAAACCTAGAATATTACTGGTGCAACAATTCGGTGAGAGTAATTATATCTTATGCTATGTCTTTCATTGATATCCGGTGTACTTGCCGACACTTAGAAAACTTGACTCCTGGGAACGAGCATTTCGATGCGCGCAGGCGCGATTTTTAAGTTACAGAGCAAACCGGCTAAGCGAATGCTATGAATGTTAGTCATGTTTCTTGCCTTGTGATAGTCGCGCCATTTCACATTCCATATACACTGCTTGTAAATTGTCCTGCTACGATTAAAAATGTTATTTATTCTGTTATTGATATCAAATTAGTGCAAGAAGTTTGTTTTAGCGGTGCAGAGTGAGCCCGTATTATTTTTTTTTTTTTCGTTTGTGAATATGAAGGCATACAATGTCAGAATAGATAGATTTCACTCTAAGTCTATAAACTTTTGATCAAATACGCCAACTTATCTTTGCATTCTGTGATTAAAATAACATGTTTAGTATGTGAATTGAAATTTAATTTTATTAACTTGTGAGATTTAAAGTAAATTTTTAATTCGACACAGATCTTCGTTTAAAACGTTAATATTTTTAAATTAATAAAATAATTGAAAAATAAAGTTATAAAATCATTAAAACGTTTTAAATATTAAGTCTAACTAAAAATGTTATCGATAAGTAACGCGAATTCCAATCGAATCAAATTGGATTATACTCGCACTGAATAATATCTGACTTTTTTTTTCTTGTAAATCAGTGATTTTCACGCTTTCAGATTTAGAAACAACAGAATCGCAATTTATTTAAGATTTTTAAAAAATAAATCAAGAAGAAACCTTAAAGTTGAATAAAAACGAAATATTATCATATACAAATATAACACTTTCTATAAATCGGACTAATATTCAAATTAATTATTTAAATTCTGTGTTCTAATTTTAAATTAGAATTAAATGGCGATTATTGGTGTGAATATTATTATTTGTATCGTTTTTTAAGTACACATTCATGTATATATATAATAGATAGAATTAAAAATTGTTGCACATTATTCAATTATTATACAAATAAATAGGAGTAAATTAAAATTTTTCAAACTAGATAATGAAAACATGAATTTGCCTTTAAAAAATATTCAAACTTTTAGAAACATTTTTTTTTTATTAACATAACTATTTGCTACTTATTTCCAATCTAAAACAATTTATTATATTTTTCACTTAATATTTTACTTCATTTGACACGTAATGAAATAATCGAACTTTTTATTTCAAATAATAGATATTAATTTAATATTTATATTATAGTGTACTTTAATATGTTTTTTCTATACATATTCTTACAAATTGCACTAAATAAACTTAAATTACTACAAATATATTTCTAATTTCTATTTTTGTTTAACATTTATAATCCGTTTTCTTTTTTAAAACTATTTATTTCATTATTTACAGATAAGCATCTCAAATTAAAAACAAAAAAAAAAGAAAAAAAAAACGGAATATGCAAATTGTATAATTTTAATTATTATATTATAGTATAAAATATAAATATAAATATAGTCAATACAAATTAATCGAATAGTTTCAGTATTTAATGATTTGCATTACATTCGTAAATAGAGCTACACTGACTTGAATTTTAAGACATTAAAAACTCCACAATATTGTAATTTATTTACATACCTTATATCCTACATAAATTAATAACTTCATATATATAATCCTCTCAATTATTAATAACAAAAAATAGAATAAATTACATTGAAACTTTTTTCATAAGTTTATTTGCAAACAAATAGATAACCTCATTCGTTTTTGTTTTTTTTTTTTAAAGAATAAGAAAATATACGATATTTTAAAAATTTATTGACTTGGCTTTTTGATTACTGGACTATTATTGTCTTGAGTCAGTTATTGCTTAAATGAAATTAAAAACAAAGAGCAAATCTATTAAAATATAAACAGTGTATAAATATTTAATCAAATATCTTAGGAGAAAAAATATGTAATACTAAAAAAGTATCATCGAATGCAATGTTTTCTAGTTTCATGTTCTTTTACAAACTTACACTCATAGTCACAAAACTAAAGTTTTTGAAATATTTCAAACATGATAACGAGCATATTTAATCAATTGATCAAATAAATTATATATTAAAAAAAAATTGATATTTACACTTTAAATTTCAACATTGATCCATTTTAAAATTTCAATTAAATACATTTGTCGAAATTCAATTTAATTTATCAGAAACTAAATATTATTGAGTTATAATTTTAATTTATAATAATAATTTCGATGTATAATATGCATAATGCATAATGTCATATTCGAAAAAAGGAATATAAATTCTACATTATTTAAATTCTTAACATTATAAAGTTTTTATTATAATGACTTTTTAAATCGAACGAATAAATTAGATTAAATTGTACATAAAAGTTAAATAACAAATGTAATAGCAGCACTTTATTAATTAAAGTTATGAAATAAAGTTAATTGATTGATTTCTTATTTAAATGCTTAAAGAAATAAGTAAAGTACAGCATTTTCTATTGAATTTGAAACAAATTATAAAACCAATATAATATATAAAACGATATAATATATAAATATATAATGTGATTAGTATGAGAAATATATAAATACGTAGAATATATTAATAGCAGAGTTTATTTAGAGAAGTTTTAAAAAATTAAAATTAAAATATATAAGTAAAAAATATAAATACAATTAAGGGTTAATATTAATATTTTTTGATTTTCTAATAATATTATATTTCTATATATTGCTAATTCAATTTTTTATCAAATCAGATATTATAAAACAGATTATTTCATAATATTAATTTTATTTTTTATGAATATTATTTCACAATTAAAAAAACTTTCCTGTTTAATAATTATTCACGAATAACATAAAAGTAATTTTTTGTAAGTTTTTTATCATAATAAAAACTTGACTATATCGTATCTTATTATTTAATATAATATATTGCATAAAAATCATTAAAAAAATATAGACGTAAAGATCGTTTTTTCTAAATTCCATTAGAACTTTTTAATTCCTTTTAGAATGTATACGTTAAAAATGTAAATTTACAATATTTTGAATTATTATAGAATAAAAATTTGTTATCGTATTGATAATTTAATTTTCTTCATTATTATTTGTGAGTATTTAATAAACTCTTATTAATAAATAAAAATCGAAATTCTTTAGTTTCAAAGAATGATGAATAACGTATTCGCTAATGAACATAAAAATTTTTATTCTTGATAATAAGAACATTCACAGAATGTATATGACTAAAATATAAATATGTTTCAATTTTTAGTAGTAATTCCTGCGATATTTTTAACATAATGAATAAAAATATATGTGAAAATTATATTAAAAGAACAATATATCAGGCAATATAAAATATGACACTTTAGTCATTAAAAATGTACTTGTTTTAATTGTATCTGAAGCAGTAATTAGCAATATAGTTTATATAAAAATGCAATTATTATATATATATATATATATATATATATATATATTTGATTTAATGATTATAGTTGAATTAATTAATCAATGTAGATTTATAAATATAAAATATAATTAATTTTGTTTAAACTTCATTGGTATTGTACATAAAAAGTATATTGATTATTTTATCGACAATTTATTTTGATTAACGTATTTCAATGTTTACGTTTAAGAGATTTAGTATATTATTTTTAGTTTATCATTGGCGTATTACTTTATTTATGATTTAATAAAAACATATTTTAAATACTTATATTTAGATGTTTCAGTAATATAATTTTATTTGAATTATTTATTAATTATTATTACTTAGGAGAATTTACACTTGAATAATTTTTCACTAAGTTTAAAAATCACCTTTACGTATGGTGATTAATGTAACTTAATAAATTCTCTCTCTCTCTCTCTCTTTCTCTCTCTCTCTCTCTCTCTCTCTCTCTATTTATTTATTTATCTGACTCTTTATTTATATAAATAAACAAATATGACATTGCTTTAAAACTTCATAGTTTGGTATTATAATATCTATTAACCATAATCTTTCTGCAGTAACTTATATATTTGAAACAAGTAATACAAATCGATCTTCTTGATGAGAATTTGATAAAAATTTTCGAAATTTCGAAAAATAACTGATAATTGCATGCTGTTTTTTAAACGATTGAATATCCGCTTTAATAATTGCATTGAATATTTAATATTCATGAAATGAGAACAACTCGGGAATCGAATTGTTGTATCTACACCTACAAAAATTATGTCAGTAATAATGACAGCAGTAACAGTTGAAAACTACTTATCGACAGAATTATAAGCATTGGAATTTGATACAGAAAAGTAAGGACACCAGAGAGTAATAATCAAAAGCATTGAGATCGAAGGCAGAATGGATGAACTAGTCGAATTATTTCTGTTTTGCGGAGTGATCTATTATCTTCTTAATTTTAGGTAATAATTTAACATAAAATGTTCGGTCATTTATTTCCGTGGTTAAATAATTTAAACTTGCGTTATTAAAAAACATATTAATATATTTAAAAAATTTGAAATTCATTATAATATTTATTCTGTTAGAAGATTCTTTTAGACATGTAATATTTATTAAAGAAAAAAAATTCTTTTAAATTTCTTACAGAAACAGCAATTCTTTAAATATTGATTTTAAAAATAAATACGTCACACTTAGGTGCTATAAATATGAAGAAATAACAGGTAGATAAAAAATTTACAAATAACATAATAATATGTATTAATATTTAAATATCAATATTTAAATAATATTATAAAAAATGCCTGTTAATATTTTAAATAAAAAATTTTTAAAATTTCTTAAATTTAAATTTCCAATTTTTCATTTTCAATAAAAACTGAAATTTACCTCATTAGTTTTGCAAAAAATAAAATCAACATATAAACATTAGTGTAATATCCATATCTACAACAATTAAGTTTGTTTTTAATAAGGAATGAACATGTTTTTTGCATAAATTCAAATATTTATTATCATCGAACTATATCGATTTACAATAAAAATTTCAGTAAAAATACAAAAATTTTATTTTTTTTCACGTTGACAAAAATTAAAATGTTATAATTATGATTTAGAATAGTGATATTAAACAATACTGTGAATAAATAATGGATAAAAAGAAACATCCCTTGTCAACATACACTTATCAAATTTATAAAATAAGTGTCATTAGTTACTATTTTCAATAGCGGTAGTAATTTCTGTAGATTATATTTTTGAAAATTCGGTGGATATATTTATTTTAAATTATTTATAATAGTGTATTATTGATTGTGTATTATATATAATAGTGTATTATGAAAATACTATTGAACGTCCGTAAAATAATATAAACTGTATATGTTTATTTTAGTAAAGAAAAACGTTTTTTTCAATATATAGTATTGAAATTATATTTTAAAAAAATAAAATTTTATTTTTATAGTTTCACGTGAAACTGATTTTAAAATTTTTTATAATTAATTTCAAAGCAAAACAATTCAAAACAAAATCAAAATAAACAGTCAAAACACCCAAGGGAATAATATTTTTTAATGTAATACGTTAATTACTCACTTATAGTTATTAGTGCATATAGTACATTATAGTAAATATTTAAATATAATATATATATATATATATATATTATCAATTTAGTAGTAAAACTTATAAACAATTTCAACAATCGTATGATGTTTCAAAATACATTTTATTATTTAATGTAAAATGTCGCTTAAAGCAGTATTAATAAATAAATTTTCGTGGCAGTGGAGAAAGCAACACTTAGTTAAGAAGAGAAACTCAATTTATTACATTAATTGATAAACTCGTGCATTCTTCCTGAACAATTTATAAAAATGTTATGCTTTGTATAATATCTATTTCCTTTATATGCGCTTGATGATTGATTAATTGCGTTCTGTAAATTTTAACTATTTTTGTATATTTTAATAAATCTGCTGTTTCGTGGAAATACGGAATATATTTTAATATTGACTTTATACGCATATTTTACAGCATTATAAAATATGACAATACTGTTTTAATTATTTCACTATCAAGTTTGAGATTACATAAAAGTAAAAGTGACTAAATACGTTTATCTTTCAACGTTTTTGTATTAAAAGTAAATACAATCAAATGAAGAATACAAACTTTCGAAGTCGTGTTATAAAGTTGTATGCATATTTCATTATTAATTGCTGTTATATAAATATACGTATAATTTATATGCTGTATTAATAAATTAAGGAACACAAATTCACTGTAACCTATGCAATTAAAAGTTTGTAAAATTAATGTAAATATTACCATTGAATAAATGATGTTTATCATTTATTATGATGTCATCTTAAAATTATATATTTAATTATTTAAAGAACAAATTTATTTAGTTTATTGAGTTTATTAGACAAGTACAAGTTTATTGAGACAAGTTTAGATGTGAAATTAAAATTTGCTAATAATTTAAAAAATATAAAAATATTTACGTTAAAAAATTTGTTGTTTAATTGGTGTATTAGATATTATTTTTTATACAAAATTAAATTCTCTTTCTCAACTCTATTAGTAAATATAAAAAATTTGCTGTATATAATGATAATTTTTATTATGCATCTAAGTATATATTAAAATATATTAAAATATATTATACGCAAATATCTTAGGACTAATGGAAAAAATAATTCATTTTGTATATACAACTTCTACATACAAATGCTGTATATAATTTGGAAAAATCTTTAAAATGAAGAATTGTTACAAATTTAATTTTTTGCTTTTACTTCTTTCAGAGCCACTGATATGGTGGATGTAATACAAAATCGGATTCAAGAAGTCTATGCAAATTGGGAATCCAATAAAGATTCAAATATATTATCTTCTAACAATGATTCAACAGTAACTTCAAGTGGTAAGACATTAAGTACTTTATTACCTACAACTATTATATTAAAATGTAGATTATTAATTATGACTGTCTTTATATAAATTAATATAAGTTTGTGAAATTTGAGTTTTTCAAATTTGTAATTATTAAAAAATCTTTTATCTCTAATTATGGTTTCTTCAATAGCTAAAATTTAAACATACAAATCAATATTTGATGTTAAGCAAATTTCATTATTTTATGACATATGATAGATAAAGATATAAAACTCCTGTAAAAGAGTATACAATTAAATCGATCTATTCATATCTTTTCGTGTAAGTATTATTACTTACAATCATTAATTATATTTCACCACATTGGTAATTACTTTTTTACATACGATCGTTTAATATTAATTCTCAATTGATTATTTATAATAAAAACAATCGAGATTACGTTGTATTTAAAAACATGTCGGTATTTAAGTATCAATGTTTTTGGTAGATTTAAGCGTAAGACTTTATTTTTTTGTTTTCTTCATTAATATCTGAATACACAATCATTTAAGTTTAATGTTTAATAGAGAAATGTGCAAACTACCCTAATTACGTCAAATTTTAAATAAATATTTGTTAAATAATTGAAATAAATATATAATGTATATATTATATATTTTCTTTTTATTACTTTTTATTTAAGTTTCTAGAATGAAATATAATTTTTATTTATTAATTAATTTTCTTACATTCAAGTAAATAATTTTTTTTTCTTTTTTTTTTTTTTTGTAATATTATCTATCTTTACAAATAATTTTACATCTATTTTTTCGTTATATTTTGGTTACTATACATTATTGAACAATAATATATTTGTAATAAAACAATATATAGCATAAAAAGAAATTGTTTATAAAGCATAATAATGAACGATTTTTAATTATGTTTTAATAATATATTAATCGATACTTTACTACTTTTGTTACATAGTTAATTTTTGTTACATAATTTGTACATAAATATCAATCCACTACTTCTTTCGTTTTTACATCGAAACACTTTACATTTATAAAAATTACTGTCACAATAATAATTAAGTTAACTAATCGGTGAAAATATCTAAAACCAATACCATAATAAAATAATAATTTTATATATTTTATATTATATGGTTATGCATTAAACATATGTTCTCACATTTTAAATATTTCACATAACATTACTTGAAATGTAGTATTTTATTATATGATATACCAATTTATATAGTCATTGTTACTCATAATTATGATTTAAAAAAAAAGAAAGTCTAACCGTATGCGTATAAAGAGTAATCAATACCTAATACAATGATAGATATAGAAATATCTCTCTATAATAGACATAGAAATATAATTTTTAAACTCTGGTTCACAAAAATATATAGATATCAATCTTAAGTATCTACAAAATTGATACACAATTGATGATACACAAGATCGTAAATAAATTATTCATTAAGATATAAATATTAATAAATATGTTAATAAAATAAAAAATAACAAATATTATTATCATGTACATATTTAATTATATACATATATTAATTATATAAATGAGATATATTATATTTTCAGAACCTCAAAGAGCTGGATCGCTTATTCAAAGAAAAATTATTAAAAACAAAGAATCTTGTCGAGTAATACGTAATAATGCTTTATTTCGTATTAAGGAATCTGAAGTTTCAATCGCAGATCCAACTAATAATTTATCTTTTTTATATTACTGTTGTAGTAGTTGCACACGAACATCAAGGGTGAGTCTAAAAATAATTTGTAGATAACAATTATAGGATAACAAAATTAACTATTTGTGTTCATGATTTATCGAAGTACAAGTAGTATTTATCAACTATTTTTTGAGCATAACAATTATTTTATAATTTATAATATTATAGTCAAATATAACTAGCATATCTTAATAAGATGAACAATTATATAATCGCAGAATGTATAAACTATATATAATGCATAATTGTTATTAATAAAAGTGTTAATAAATATTAATATCAAAAAATTTCTCCAGTTTAAAATTTTTTTTAAACAATTATTTTAGTAATTTAATATTTGGAAAATTTAGTATATTAATAGTTTAATAGTGAGCATTTTCATAATTATCTCATTAAATTTTAAACTACGTAGTTGATAATGGAAAAATAATATTGTTTTAATCCACAACCACGTAAGAAGTAATATATTTTTAAAAAAATACGATATAATTTAATATTAATCAAAGGTGGTCTACATTAAATTTGGCTTTGTATAACCATCAACATTTCGTAATACTACCGCTACAGTCACTTTGTTTCCAGCATTTCGAGTATTAATATACTTTTTCATCATATATAATAAATATATTGATAATATATAAAAATAATTTATTAAAAATTGAATAAATATCATTAAACCTAAAATGTTTAATAAATTTAATACATCCTCCTAATTATTAATTAATGATGTTACTTAAAAAATATCATATACAGCATCAATATCAATATCATATATTTAAATAAACTTATTTCTTTGACTGTTATATATGTTCAATAATATATACTTCAGACTATCTATTATGATAATTAGTTAATGATATATGTTGATTTTTTAAGTATTACGTAGATATATTAGCATATTTGCAAATAATTCAACTGAAAATAAAAACACGTGTAAAATAATTTTGGAAAATCGTTAAAAATTCAACTAAGTATTTACAATTAATGTAAATAAAATTTCTTTAATTTAGTTTAAATTGTAATATTGATATAAAACGAAAACACATTTTAATATAAATGAAATAGTAATTTTTACATAAAACATATATATTCATTATAAATTTAATTATCATTTTACTTGGCGCGATCAATTTTGCATGAATATTACAACCAATCATCTCATTTTGTATTTATTCATTAATTGATTGCCAATTTCAACTATGAACGAAAAAACAAAATCTTAAACCAAAGAATTAAAGAGAAATGTAAACAACTATTACCTATATAACTGAGGATGTGTCCTAAGTTATCCACCATCGGTCAAGTATCAAGCTCAACTCTGAGATAGATTTATCCTGGCTTTCGCTATTTTTGCAGGTGTGCTAAAAATAAAAAATTATTTTAAGTAGTTTGTGAGATCGAGTTAGCAGTCTTATACCTTTTATAAAGAAATAATGAAAATCACACTCAGTTCGTCGCCTACACTTCCAACACGAATGTATGTTTAGAACATCGTAATAAAATAATAATAAACAATAATGTAATGTAAAACATCACTATATTTCGAAGTTATTTTGTGAAATGTACAAATTCATTTCGTGGTTTTTCATTAAGAACTTCAAGTTGACTATACACGTGTACATATTTTTATACAAATGTAATAAATTTAATTTACCATAATTAAAAATAGACTGTGTATACAATGTATATATAAATACATATATACGTACATTATATAATAATTTATTATATTATTTTATTTTATTTCCTAATTGATAGTGATTTTTTATTATTCAAATATTATTTAAATTACAGCTAAAAAATTAGTATACATATGAAAATAAGTGGACAGGTTTAAAGTGTTTATTGTGTAAACTATACAAAATATACCATAAACTATGTGTGTATATAAATATATAATACAATTTATGACAATTAAATTCACTTATTTTCTACATTACTAATATTATTAATAATAATTTATCGATAAATTTCATTTCATTTCTAAGAAAAAACTGTGTGTGTATATATGTAGATAAAAAAAATGCGCGTATATATATATATATATATATATATATATATATATATATATATATATATATAAAAAACAAAAAAAGAAAAATATATACACTATTAATGACAATTAAATTCACTTATTTTCTACATTACTAATATTATTAATAATAATTTATCGATACATTTCATTTCATTTCTTAGAAAAATATTATGGTGCCATTACATTGTTTCAATATTGTTAAAAGATCAGGAAATACTAAAGAAATTAGTTTAGATAATGAAATTAAAGGAATAGATTAACAGCTTTTGTTATACAAAGCGTACACAGTTCAATATATTAATTAATAAGTATTTCCATATATTATACATATATGCAAATATTATTTTCAATAAATATATTACAATTTTATTAAAAATAATAATAATTTATAAATGTTTACCCTGCTTGATAGACGATAAAATTAGATAAATATAATATTTTTAATTAAACAAAGATCTTAATGTAATTATTTTTTCCCAAGCTCAAATTTAATATAATACTCTAAAACAAATTTATTGAAAACATAATTTTAACTAATATTAGTCTTATTATTGGAAAAACTAAATATTTTTGTATAAAAACTAATATAATAGCATTGATCTAAGTATTAAATCGTGACAATTTTCGTTTAATTTAATAAATAATTTTGGCGTATTGATTATTGTTTTTATCGTTTTATATTTGTTAATATCATTTATACTATTAGTATAGATGAATTAAGTGTATATACAATTTATATCTGAATAAATCATGAATCTAAATTAATTTTTTTAATATTTAGCTTCGAAAAATGTAAGGAATAATTTGAAAAAATTTTAATTTCATTATAGAGAATTAATCCCTTAAATATCTATAATTATATTATCATCAATTTTTTCAAACTACAAAAGTGAAATTACTAATATAATACTTTTCAATTGTTATTCTATTATACTAACTTATTATTACTTCCTTTTAATAACAACATCAATTAATCAAAAGATACACAGATACAATATCTTTATCTTCAAAGAAATTTGTTATATTTTTATATTGTAAATGTATTCAAATACACGAGAACAAACAGTAATTATCAAATTTATAATTTTGAGGCATTTAAGCAATTAATATGCACGTAAATATATTTATTTACAACAGTATGTTTATACTAATATTCAGAATCTATTTATATTTGTATTCATTATGATTATTATAACTGCTACTTTTATTTTCTAAAAAAGTAAATCAACTAATTTTAACTTTGGAATAATTTATGTTTGAATTAAAGTATTTTTAACAATATAATCACTAGTACAAATTACCTATTTATTTACAAATTACCTATATTTAATGAATAAAAGGATTGCTAATTTGAAGTTAGTTAAAAATGAAAACGTATGAAGATGAATCATCAGGAGCTTTTGAAAGATGGTTGAGAAAAATTGTTGTTACTGGATATTTAGAATCTTCGAATGTAAGTGTCAAAAAAATTCCATTGATTATAAATGAAATTCATAATCTTTTTAAAATTCTCACAATTCTAACTATTAAGGGTTGGCAATAATTAATTAAAAAGCTGTTGCATATTTTTAAAATTATCCGTATATTGTTAATGAAATTTATTATAATTTATGTATTTAATTAATTAAACATTCTTGTGAAAATATTATTTCTTATATTTTCAGGGTTCTTTAGTCAATATAGCAACAAAAAAACATCGGTCAAATTTGTCGAATCTCCTCGTTGTTGAACAGAAACCAAATATTTTATCTAAAATTTTTGGACATATATTTCAAGTGTACGACTTTAAAAAATATAATTATCCAAAGGTTTCTCATGTTGTGAGTTAATTAAAAGTTTAATAATATTTTAATATTTTATCATAAAATGATATTATGTACGGTGGCAATAAAATATGAATATACTTGAGTGTATAATCAAAGCATTAAGAACTAAAATTAGGTATATTATTTATTTAAAATAATTTTGAATTGTTATTTGGCGAATGACTAATGCAAATATAAAATTATTTATTACAATTGTTCTTATAACAGTAGATGCCAAATTATTGTATTCTTTATTAGAATCTCTATTGTTTTGCAATATAAATAAAATTATTGATATTTTATTTGCCTACCAAACATTTCTTTTGCATATCAGATTGAGGCATTTATACTTTATATTTTGCAAAAGCAGGTACTCAACGACGACAGATTAAAAGATGCAATACGCCAGACAGCACGAGACATTTCTAGAGCTGACGGTTCATCCGAGGATAATGCCGCATCCAAATTGGAAAAGCGTGCACGCTCGATCTTACAAAAAATGCAAAGTACGTTGAGCGATTTACTATTAAAGATAACTGCGTGGACGCTGTATAAGTTGCTGCCATTTTTCTTACACTCGGCCAGTGTTCAGACTTGTCATATTGAAATGTTGCAAGAGGCTAATAAAACCAATCTACCACTAATATTTATGCCTCTGCACAGAAGTCATTTAGATTATATAATGATTAGCTTCCTCACAGTCACAAACAATATTAGGTCACCATTGGTAGCTGCGGGTGACAACCTACGCATTCCGTTATTTGGGTGAGTTGTGCTTTCATGATTCTTAGAGGGCATTAATAATATTATCCCTTTTATAAATATTACTTAGATACTCATTATATTTGCCGAACATAAATTCATGTCACTATATTTAGTATTAAAGTCTAAATTAAAAATATTTTGAAAATAAATTTATTTTGTATCTTTGCAGTGCCTTATATCTTTATATTTTACGTTTGATCCTACGATCGTTTCTTTTCATTCAATTCCAGACATCAGTTTATATAGCATTTTAAATAGAAAATAAATAAAAAGTCGTAGAAAATTTTTTCGATAAAATAGCTACCTAATCTCCTTAATCAATTAAAATATAAGTTAACAATTATTTACAGAATACTAGACAATCGTCTATATAATATAATGTCATCAGTTGAAAATATGAAGTAAAAATGATTTAATATATAAAATACAATATAATTATCTACATAATCGAGTGTTATTAGTTATTGTAAATTTAAAGATTGCTAAGAAAGTTTTTTTTAATCTTGTATAATAGTATATATTTTACAAATATATAATTTATTTTTGGAATTGTTACTTGATAATTTTAACTGATAAATATAGATATATTAATAGCAAAATAAACTTTGAATAATAATATACTGCAATTGCAATGGTTTCAATTGTTTATTCTTGAACATAGGTAAATAAAAAAAAAATTAACATACATATATAAGCTTTTAATTACTTTAAGTATATTTTTTCTTATGCTATTAGATTACATTCTGAAATAATTACTTCACATACATTCTTAGATTTGTAAGCTTAATGATATACAAACTACGATATGTCCAAGTTAGATAAAATATTATTGTATTTTTATATTATTTTTATATTATGTGATTGGTAAAATTTTAATTATCATCATATTGGTTTACTTATAATTTCATCAACGACTATTATTTATAATTTTCAAAAGTTCGTATTTATGAATTACAAAATTTATTTCCTTAAATAAGCAAGTACTTGAACGAAAACGTTTTTTATAAATATATTTAATTAGTAAAGTGATTTTTAATATTTTTACCGTGTCATTGTTAAATAAATATATTGAATAATCGTATTATTCTTCTAATGTAGTATTTTCATTTTTATGAATCATACTATCTACTCAAAATATTTTAGAATAATGGTGGTAATAATAAATTAATTTTTTTAATTAACCGTCACCTTCACACTCTATTATTATTATGAATAAATTTTTTCATTAAAAATGATTTATCTGAATATTTTTATTGTATTTATTGTACTTTTTCGTTACTTGCGAAAATGCTTCACAATAATTCCTGTCGAGAAATATATATATATATAGTAACACATATACGACATCATATATAGTTAGACACACTCCTTTGTTAACGGACATAATTAGTAATTAATGTAATACGAATCAACTGAATAAGTATTCTTGTTAGTTTAAAAACCACAATATTATATCAACGTTTGGCAGACTTTTGGCCTTCAATTGCAGATTTGTAAAAAAACCATCGAATTACTTTATTACCAAAATTAATTACGTGTAACATTTATTTTTAGGTGGTACGTTTTTTGACAAAACTAAAATACGATGCAACAAGTATATAAATAAATAAATTAACATTTTACTTTAATTAATTTTTATTATAGAGCATAGTAAAAAATCTTTATATATCTATGTGAACAAAACTGAGTAGTAAAAATCATGAATTTTACATTTGTTCTTGTTTTTTTTTTCTTCATTTTTTTCATTTCAAAGAATTTTACTTGATTTTGAAAACGACATAGAATGCCATTAAACATATGGAGCACAATTTTAATTTGATAATAATGTGCGTGTGTATATAAAAGTATTGCAACATTTAATTTTTTAATGAGTTATTTCAAATCGTAAAAATAGCATTATAAGTTAAATAATAGAATAGCTTATAATAGAATTGTAAGAAATATATTTTATAACAGTCTTCACCATCGAATTATTTAAAGGTCAATTTAAAAATTTCCAATATGAATTCATGTTTTACATCAAATTATGAAAAATCTAATCGCACAATTATTTTTAGACTTTTATGCTTTCAGAATATTTACACATAATCGTTTATCTGTTTCAAGGTGGCTCATGAGCGGGCTCGGAGCCTTTTTCATTAAACGGCGTATGGACCCCATAACCGGTAGACGTGATGTCGTATATCGTGCAATTCTGCATACTTATATAATGCAGTGTCTTCGTGCCGGTCATAATATGGAATTTTTTCTCGAGGGCGGTCGTTCACGTACCGGAAAACCGTGTATGCCCAAAAGTGGAATACTCAGTGTTATTGTTGATGCATATATGGATGGTACAATTGAGGATGCACTACTCATTCCAGTATCTATGAACTACGAAAAGCTTGTGGATGGAAATTTTGTAAGGGAACAACTTGGTATGTCTAAGAAAATGGAAACCTTTGGCTCAACCATCAGAGCTATCTGGGCTACTCTAAGGGGTAACTACGGTATCGTTAAAATTGAAATTTGTCAGCCATTTTCCTTGAAGGTTAATTTAAAAACTTTTTTACTCATAATTTTTACAATTAAATAATTATTTTTTATTGAAAATATTACAAAGAAGAAAAAAAAACATTGTTTAATTTGAACATTTTGTTGTTTGTGCTATTTTAAAGTTGTGTTTTGAAATAAAATATTAAAAATATTAAATGAATTTTATTACTACGCAGATATTCCTTAAAATTCATTATATTTAAATTAGTATTAAATAAATATTTTTGGCTTGTTTGATAATTCATTTTTTATCATTTTAGGAAATGCTAAAATGTTTCCAAATGCAACAAAATAAAGTAGGTCTTCCTAGTCCGTCACAGAAACAATTGAAAACAACTACCTCTACATCTTCGTTATATGGAACCGATATTGTTATAGAAGAACATAGACAATTAGTTGATATGATAGCGCGTCATGTTATTTATGGTATATAAATTATTATTTTTAAACAGTAATCGAGAATAAAATGCACACGTTTTCATATTTACAATCTAATCCTGATATTTTGTAAAAAGTATGCTGATTAATAATTTATGTCCACACTACGTTGTAATATAAAATTCTATCAGATTTCATTCAATTTTAATTTATATATTACATTATTTCAATTGTTCCCTACATTCAATTTGTCAATGGAATTATTCATTATTTATAGATTGCTCAAAATCGACACCTATTATGTCAACTAATATAGTTGCTTTTCTACTACTTAATAAGTTTAGAGATGGTTGTACTATAGAGTCACTGATAGAAGCTTTTGATGAAATGAGACGTGAATTTGAACGGGCTAAATGTGATGTTGCATTTTGTGGGGAAACTGTTGATATAATTAACCATGCTGTAAGTATGAGAAAAATAAAAATTAATAGGATCACAAGAATCTTAATTATATTATAATATCCAATATATTAATTGCACTATTTATCGTAGAAAAATTTTATAAACTCATTTATTGTATATTATCCAACACAATAATAAATACAATTATTATAAATATTTATTTTTTAATTTTTATACAGAATATTTCATCATATACATCATCAATATTAATTATATAAAATAATTAATAACATTTCAATTTAACGACAAGAATTTAGTAAATTATATTGATATTAATATTTATTTAATTTTATCATATGATTGATTAAAAAATTATTTTTCAGACCGGAATTCTCGGGCCAGGCTTGATAAAACAGCAGAGACAAGACATAATCGAATCAGTCGATAATCAGCCCAGAAAGTTGAAGACGATTATTGTTATTAAGCCTGTGTGCATTCTACCAAATGTGATCGAATTAGCCTATTACAGCAACACAGTCATTTTACATTATTTAATGGAAAGTGTTGTAATTACATCTCTTTATGCTGTATTAAAATCGCAAATGAACGATCCACAAGCAATTATTGATAACGATATTACCATTTCACAAAGTGTTTTAGTAGAAAATGCCCTTGTTGTATGCAATATTTTAAAATATGAATTTATATTCTGTAAACCTTGTCAGAATCTTGAACAAGTTATTAATGATACGATAGATAATTTATTGATATCAGGCATTATTATTAGGATGGAGGTAAAATTTTATATTAACATTATACGGTAAAAAGTCATTTCTTGTATATTAAATATATAATTCTTATCGTTACAATTGAAAGGATGTTCTTTCAAATCAAGAAGTATGGAATCAAAACATTTCAAAAGATTTGGAAAATAGATCTGACGAGGAAAACAGTATACATAATGTTAATGAAAATGTACAGTTTAAAGTAAGTAATTTTCAAAAAATATTAATCATCTAGCTTTATAATTATTTATGTATTTAATTGCTGATAAAGAAATTCCCATTTTACAAAGTGCTTTAGTTGAAAATGCCTCCTTTAAATAATAAATAATAAAATAAATTATTTTAGAATTTATAAAATTCGATGTAATTTTTAAATAAATGAAAATTTATTGTAATTCTAATATTTATTATATTGAAACCAATAGTTTGATTATAAATATATAGAGATAGGGTGAAAAATTAATATAAATTATTTATTAAAATATGTACTTATTTATTCTTTAATATCATACAGTAACAGAATTATTATAACTTAATAATTTATAAATCAAATTAGAATACTTTAATTTTGAAAAATACTAGTTTCTAAATAATTATTTTCATTTAAGTTTTAAATATAAATTCAATTTAATTTAATTATTATGAAAAGATACAATTATGTAAAGATGTAATTTAATTCCGATTATGGGTTGATAAAAGATTTGTAAATATTAAACTTTCCCATGATAAAAAATAAAGGTTTATATGTTCGAATACAAAAAAAAATATCAAAAGAAAAAACTGAGATTTACATTACAGCTTAGCTTAATTTCGGAACATTCCAAAAGAATGGAATTTCTGCACATGTTATTACGGCCACTAATAGACACTTATGTGATAAGCGCTTTATGTTTAAAAAAACTAGTCGAGAAATCTATTTCCGAAAGAGATTTCATACAAGAAATATTGAATGAAATTAAAATAAACATAGATCAAGGAATCGTTAATTATGGTAAGTTTTGTTTTGTTTTTTTTTTTAATTAATAATTGTAATAAACCACACAAACCATAACTTTATTGTCAAATATTCTTTATTTTTATTTTATAGGAGAAAGTTTAAGTGTCGATTCAATTAAAAATTCATTAAAACTTTTCGAAAAAAATAATATTCTAGAATGTCAGTTACAGAAAAATATTAAAATTTATTATTTAAATGAAGACTATGATAATGATACAGCCACTAATGAAGTCTACGAAGTGCTCGCAGCTTATAAATGGATGAGAAATATCGACTAAAAGACTTATATTAAAAGTTCTTTATTATGTATTGGTTCCTAAAATTTTGTGAAATATGAGAAATGTTAAAATAACACTTTTTTCATATTGGAAGAAATGTCGATAATAATCAACCGTGTATAGATAATTGGATTTAAGTCCAAAACGAAAATGTATTATTAGAATCATTAATATTGTATAAATTTATTTTTTCAATCGAATAATTTAAAATAGAATGGTTAAGAAATTTTTAAGACTTGGTACTTTATTTCATCGTTTTTAAAAACGATGAATCAAGCAAATACTGTTAAATACAATTTTGTTATGGATGAAACAGATTCATATTAATAAAATAATTTCACTAAATAGTTACATAAACAAGTAAACGAAATTAAAATAAACAAGGAAACTTAATAATTCGTAATTATTGATTTTGGATAGCACCTTCTGAGTGACATACATTTTTGTTCGTCGATAAAAAGCGTTTCTATTTTTATCCAATGTTCAAGTTCAAGATTGTTTTTTACTTTTAATAAGGATTCTAATTGATTTTCAGCTTGTTGCAATTCATTGTGGGATTCTTTATTGGTCTTTAAATATTTTAAGTTCGTTTCCACATGAAATATTTCATTCTTCACCTGTATTGTAAAATGTAAATGAAAATAAAATCTAAATTAAAAAAAAAAAAAAAAAAACAAACAAACAAACAAACAAAAATCATACATTTCCTTATTAATCCAAATACCTTTTCTAAATAAGAACTGGTTTCGTCTCTAGCTGTTTTCAATTGGATGCAATTTTCTAAGAAAGCTTTATTAGTTTTATTCCATATCTGATTAATATTTTCAATAATCTCGTCCATATCAATTTTTATTTTATTTCTTAAATCTAATGATTCAGTATTTATGGTATATAATTTTTCCAACAGTGATTCATAATGTTCTGTGCATATTTTTGATTCCAAAAACCTACATTAGTCAAATTCAAAAGATTATTATCAATATGATTCGGTAATATAATTAAATCTAACATTTTTATTTCCTCAGTTGGCAAATTAGTAAATAGATTCCATTGTATATTTTTTATTATATTTTCTAATTCACTTTGAATTTTTCTTCCCTTGATTAACTGTAATAATAATAATAATAATAATAATAATAAAAACGAGCATTTATAAATAATTCAAATAAATTTTAATTATTGAGTAAATATTTTTACATTAGTTTCACACTGCTGCAAATATTTTTCTAAATACTGCTGATTTTGGCGAAATTCAACACTTTCTTTCATAAGCATCTTCTCCACCTTATCATTAATCTTTTCATTTTCTAATCATTATATATAAATAAATTATTTTAAGCAATTACTTTAACTTGTATATTAATATAAAATAAAATATAATTACTTAATTTTAATGTATGAAGTTTAAAAACTCAACATTTAAATTGAAATATAATCAGTAGTACTCAACTGCATCTAGTTTCTCGATGATGAAGACATTCGGCAGAAATATGTAATGGAACTCCGATGTTTTGAATGCAACTTTGCAAGTTACGTTTACAACTTTGCATTTCCTTATGCTCAAGAATAAATTCTTCAAATTTCAATGTTATCTTATCGATCTTCAATTTTAAATTCTTTAGATATACGTCATCTTTTTCCTTATTTTTTACTTTTTTGCATGTTTCCATTCGTTCTTTTGCCAATCTATTCCATATAAATTTCACTCATAAATTCGTTACACACATAAACAAGGCATACATGATTCATAAGTATAGTATGTTCCATTATACATATATATATATATATATATATATATATATAATAAAAATAATATTTAAACATTAGATAAATTTAAATAATAAAAAATAATAAAATAAAAATTTAATGTAAAACACTATTTAAATATATTTATGATTATAGTGTTGAAGTAAATTAAAATAAATCGTAATATAATTAATTATATAGTAAACATTTATAATATACTTTTGAAAGAAAAAATATTTATTGTAATTTCATAAAGGCTTATTTATTATTAGGAATATAAAGTGCCGTTTATATTATTATTATTTATTTATTTTTTTTATATAATTTACATCTATATTTTAGAAATAAACTTCAGACGTTATATTAATGCGAAAATAATGAAAATTACACTATATCAATACCTAATTAAATTGTCTAAATTTTTTCCTATTACTTGAGAACTTTTAAGAATTGAAGATACTTGATCTGTCAGATAATTTTGATTCTCTACTGATTTCATAGCTGTATATTTTATTCCAAGTGCAGAACGTGCAACATGAATGGGATGACGATCGAAGCCCATTATTATGCTTGGGAATTTTAAAGGAATTGTATTCATGTCATCAGGAACATAGCAAGGAATTACACTTTGACTGGTTATTGGATACGATGGTCTGAGGAAAAGATTTATTTAATCAATTATCGATGGTACTGATGGTAATGAATACCGAATCATTAGAAATCAGATGTTAACATTGAAGTATTGAACGGTCTTGTAGAACAATAATTTATATTACAATAATTATTGAATTAACTTCTCCTCTTTATCCACTTTAGAATATGTTTTTTTTTTAAAGTGTAAATTTCTAGTGTCATTTCTATTATTGAGTCGTGCTTCTAATTTTGAAAGTGCTTAGCATTTTTTCGACAACAATAATTAAATCTTGAATTTCTAATTTGTATTTTCAATAATGGCTTTGGTTTATATTACAGTACAACATAAGTACAGTATAATGAAAATTAATAACTCTAATTTTCGATCATTTAATATTATAATCCATTATTTTCTTGTTGAAAATGATAATAACAGTATTGAAAAAAAAAAGAAATATTAATTATAAAGCATGTAAAATAAGTTATTTTATATTTTGAAGATTATAATACATTTATTAACCCAAATTGTTGATTAATTGATTTTTATCCATTTCGATCAATAACATAAAATGTATTAATTCAAAAAAGCTTACACTTTAAATGTTGCGATTGTTTCATCTTCTGCTATTAATTTCCACGGATAATTTTTAGATGTAAATAAAGCCATTTTATCTTAAATATTTATTACAATAAATTTTATTGAAGGTTAGGTATCAACGATTCAAAATGTCATATAATCAATTTTACTGTATACATATATATTTTAATAAATTTGTTCATGTTTTCTAAGTTTTAAGTTAAAATTTGTTTTTGTGACAAATAACATAAATTAAAAATATTATTAAAAATATTATTTTAAAATAGTTATAATGTATAATTGTTCACGTAATAATTAAGATAAAAATCGAAGTATACTTCTAAATTTTTATATGAAACATTTTTTAGTACAATGATTTGTCCAATGATTTTTGTAATAATATTTATTAACTCATCATGACTTCATTACAATATCACTCACAATGAAATAGTATTAGAATGTATATATTTCACATTATAAATATTAATAATTTTATTCTATTTATAATTATATCCTAGTATTTATATTTTAAATAAATTTTTTAATTGATGTTCTGACAGACATAAAGCAAAATATTTCATAACTATTTACATATTTTAAACACAAATTGATATATTTATTGTAATTTTGTGAAATATATGTATATATAACTATTTATTAACGATGAAGCGAAATTTTTTAAAAAATATTAATGTTTTTAAACATTAATGTATATATATATATATATGTAAACAAGACAAAATTCTTTCAAATTATTTAACGACAATTGTTTATTTAAATATTTCTTCAACTCACATACATTCAAAAGTGTACTAAATACTACTTTTTTCTAATTAGAAAAATTTGTTTATCCTTTATTTAGTAATTCTTACTTTAAAATAGAAAAGGTTTTGTGTGTGATGAAACAATCTAAAATTAAACCACCGGTTTCGCATGTATCTTTACCTCCTGGAACAAAGGCCAACGATTAATAAATGAAAATGTTGGTGGGAGCTCTTCAGAGAATGAAAATACTTACTTAAATTTTTACATTTGTTCATAACCGCATTGGCTTGATTAATATTAATATTACTATCGGCTACTTTCTTGCGAATTATGTCTTCATCTAGTTTTCCATCATCGTGCAACTATACAATATATGCTTCTTTTAATACATTAATTCAGTACATAGCAATATAGTCTTATAATATTATATGGATTTTATAAATACAATGTTCAAACTTACGTTCAACATTCAAAGCATTCATTAAAATTTTATAGTATGTTATAACTTTATATAATATAAATAATATAAATTGATGTAAATTAAGAATTTAGACAATAATTCAGCTATAGCTCATAATCAATTATTTATGCTATAATAAATCAATTTCAAGCTACAATTTTTAAAGCGTAAATAATACTTTCTTTTTGTAAGCTGTCATTGTTCTAAAATATCGAATAGTCTATAATGTGTTGACAGGAATATACTTACCAATCCAATCATTTTTAACAAACATGAAGCAAAACAGTTAACTTTTTCATTACGATGAAATTGTTCACCTCTCAAGATGCTATTGATAACGGCTAAAATTTTTGAAAATACATGTAAGATCATTGATTAATTATTATAAATACAGCTTTATAAATTAAAAATAAATTTTTATATATTAGTTGAGAGTTGTAATGTTTTTAAAATGAATTCATAAAGTAATAAGCCCACAGCTTATTTATATATTATGTACTAATATTTGTATAATATAAATATCAATATACACAGTTATTAATTTTATAAATGAAAATCTCACCTTTATCAACACCAACTTCAGTAACACAATTATCTATGTATTTTCTTAATTTTACTTTTTGTTCATTAGTCAAGCTTGCCTGAAATATTAAATTGCATTGATATATTATTATTATAAAATTAAATACATGATATCCGATTATATTTTGTAAATAATTACATTTTTTAAATAAATGCATGTTAAGTGCACGTGTAATAAAATTTATTTAAATCAAAAACTCGATAAAAAATCACGGTTTAGTCGGTTTGGCTAGTTAAATATTTTTAAAAACTATAACAAATCCATATAAAAATCTGATAATTTGATTTAAAATAAATTATAAAGGTTATATAATAAGTAATTATAACTTTTTATCGAAAATTAATCATTTTTTCAATGAATTTAAAATTTGTGTAAATTACAAAACATTCAAAATCTTTCTCAAGATCATTTCAAATTTTTCAACTCATGATCTAAATTCTACATTTATATCATTTAATTACATAAATTATTATATGATAAAATAAAAAAGTAGACTTTTAATATTATTTTTATATATTAATATGGAATTAGTAAAAATTATATTTTTATATACTAACCGAATAAGCTCCAATAATACAAATAACCATAATCATACTAATAATCTTCATATTATATGGAATTATAAAGAAAATAGGAGAGTAATTGCAAGTGTAGAAGTTTTCAGATTGGTTGTTACGAATTATTCACAACGTTTAAAATCAGGAATGAAACTACTCTTCCTTTTATACGTATAACACATCCGCATACAGTGTTCGCTATTAAGTATATATCGAGTGTACGTACACAACTAAATGTTTAAGTATGACTCACACAAATTAACGGCACTTTTTATTTGATTTAATGAGAATTACATATTGTATAGATACATTATATAGTATTTATAAATTGTATAAGCTCTGACAACAAACAAGTGCAGATTATCTTATACGGAACTATTATTTTTTACATTACTACAAATATAAAAAATATCATATATGAAATAAGTCATTTTTTTTTTGTATTGACTTAAAAATGATATTAAGTACATGAATAATACATCAAATTTATAATTAAAGTGTTAAATAGTATAAGGTGTGTATAATAAAGTGTTTAATAGTAACTATAATTATATATTTATTTCATATTTAATTTATTTTATATTTATCCATCAATTTCATTCGAATTTATAATTATTTAATTGCTTAAATTCAAAATTTATTATTCAATTAGAATAATTTATAATGCAAGGTTACATTTATTCAGCAAATGATTAATAATAAATTTGAAAATATACTATTATTATAAAAAAAAAAAAAAAAAAAAAAAATTAAGCAACATTTATTAAATAATTATTTATTAAAATTTTTAAAACAATATATATTATTGTTGTAACTCTATAAAATCAATTGAAAAATTTGGTTTAAAATCGAGAAATCTATATTATGTCAATATTATGAGAGAATGAGAAATGATTCTATTAATGTATTTTCATATAAGAAATTAGTGATTAATTTTTGCATTAATTACTATTGCATAGAATACCATTGTAAATAAATAAATAAGCATACATATATATTATGGTAATATTCTTTAAGCAGTTAAAAAATTTAATAATAATAAAAATACTTGAATTAATTTATAAATATAAAAAATGTTGATTTCTGAATTTCAAAACTATTATTTTTGAACAACTTGTTATAATCATCATTATTTTTTCTCGACTTATAACTGTTTACTTGTTGTTTTAAAAAAAAACTGATTAATTAACATTTAATAAATAAATAAATCGTAATAAATTTTTAATAAATTTAAGAACAAATTTTTTTTAATAAAGTGGTCTTTAATATTTTAAGAAAACAGCTCATGTATATATATATATATATATATATATATATATATATATATTTATATTTATATTTATATAAGTAAAGCTTAGAACTAAATTTTAATGATTTACACCAAATATTTATTATAATCTTCGTATACCAATATGAGTACAAAGATTCAATAATTTAAAATCGGTTTTAGTTTCAATTACAATCAATTAATGTATGCAAAATTATGTTAATAAAGATTAGTTGTCTTCTAAAAGAAAAATCTATATTTTTTTTAATGTACAGTAACGAGTGATTTACACTCTTATATTATTCAAATTTGTGTTATGCAAAGGATTGTATTTACTTATGAAACTATTCTTTTTGTATTTTATATATAAAGTATAATAAACATGTTTACAAATATTTATATAATGTAATTTAATTCAGCAGATAAATCGTTTAAACGATGATAAATTTTTCAGATAATTGGAATTGATGGAATATATATATATATATATATATGTATACGTACATATTTATATTTATTATTTTATTGAATTATTTGTTATTTTTCTGTTTAATCTGAATAAGATTTAAATAAGAATTTAAGGAGAATAATTAATAATATATATCCTCTTTCTTAATATAAATATGTTGATAATTCTAAAATACTATTAAAAATTATTACTATTTTTAAAAGTTAGATTTGTAAATGATACTTCCAAAATGTAGAAATTATAATAGCAATAATTAATATTTCTACTCCAAAATATTGAAACTAGTAATAATAATTGTTAAGGTATAAGATACAATAACATTTTGATTTGTTGTAAATTAATTATATATTTGAAATTATCTAATTTATGAATATTAGAGAAAGTATTAACTTAATTCATTCGTAAAATTAATCGCTGAGACGAATAATTCTATAAAAACTTGTTTATTATTAATTCATTACTTACAAATTAATTGATTATGTTATTTTATCAAAATGATAATAAAAAATAATCTTATTAGACACAAATAGATTTAAAATTAATAGAATTATTAAAATTTTTATCTTGATCTAAAATATTCTGATAAATAGTATTAATAATAAATTCTAAAAGCAATGAAATCAATTAATTAAATATTCTAAATTTAAAAAATTTGTTAATAAACTCATCATTGTTATTATACTTTGAATATTATCTTGTATCACATAAATGTTTATATTTGAATTATTGACTTATCAACACAGCAATACTATCGTTCTTATAGAGATTTTGTAATTTCTAAATAAGTGATAATTTTTATAAATAATTTAATTCGAAATTACAATAAATACACGGAGAAAAAAAATGCCCATTTTTATAAAAATTTGACAATTGAATTGCTAATACTAATATTTTAATAAATATTAATTATATTGTAATTCGAAGCACTCTACCAGTGACCTTTTAAGTTTTCAAAGATACACTGTACTAATTTGCAATCTTTTTCTTCTAAAAAAGTAATTGATAATAAAATATATATATTAAATAATTATTAACAGTTATTTTTAACGGTATATTATTTACCTCCAGCACATTCATTATAAACAGAGAAAAAATATCTCTTTCCTTGTCATTATTTTCATCAAAATAAGCTTCTATCTTATTTATATTTAACGACCCGTCTGAATTCATCTAGAAAATATATTTATAATAATGAATTAATATTCTAAATAATACACGTAAAATTATTAATAATTATTAAAAGTATTTTAAGACTCTTTCATCTATATTTGATTTCTTTCTTAGCAATTACTTACATAGATTGGTATAATTGAAGATAAAATTAAAATAAAATTGTTTTAAAAGCGCAAGATAATTATTTATAGTTAGAAAACGTAAACTTTATACAAAATCTTTAATTATCATTACATCATTTAAAGTGTAATATTTTAATTATGAGCCTATAATTTATTTTATGGGTTGCAATTATACTATTATTTATGTAAAAATTAAAATAAATTAATATATATTAATATTGTGAATTTCCGTAAAGTTATATAGCAAAATCAATTTTTTTAAATACATCATAATGAAAAATTTCCATCATTATTACATTTAATTTAAATATTATTGAAAAAAACGATATTAATGAAGTCGGTAAAATAAATTTAATTGAAATTCATTTTGAACATTGAAATAAATATAACTAAAATATTAGGTTGTGGTAAAGATATTAAAGATTAAAAAATTAATAGTAATTGTCAAAAAGGTAATAACTGAGTTTATTAAAATTTATATACGTATTATTTAATTTATCTATAAGATTTTAATTTAAATACATAATTTACCATTACACAGAAGAATTGAATAATTATAACAATTTTAACTACCCCATCTATTATTATTTATTGTTTTAATATTTTCCAATGGCTATTTTGTAATAAAAATTAATAATATTAACAATGTAATTTCAAACTAATAAGTAAAAAACAACTGTTCGAAATTCATAATATTCAACGTAGTTTTTATATATTTTAATTACCAATAAATAAACAAATAAATTGATATTATAGTTTTCTTAGAGAAATTATAAGATTTATAATTATAAGCAGTTTAATGATTATTAAATGGTTTGTCTTACAACAGCATATTCTTTGTACACACAGGCAGCAAAGCAATAAACTTGTTCATTATTATATGTTGTAATATCTGCCTCTTTTTGATAATATAATTCTGTAAAAATAAAAGAATATTTATATTTATAATTGATTAATTAATTATTCTACATTATTTTTTAATATACCTGGATTAATTCCGTATTCAGTAAGACATGCATTATTGATATCTAGGGTTCTTTTATCTGTTCCTGTTATTCTCTATCAAAAATAATAATCATGTATGAATATTATTGTAAACAAGAAGGTACTGCTTCTTGAAACAAAAAATTATAATTTATAATATAATTTTAATGTATTTTCAATTGTTTAATTTTTTACAAATTTTTTACAAATTAATAAGTTTTACCTATATATTTTTAAATTTTACAAGGAATACTGAATTAGACAAAATAATGAAAAACAAAAAATTTGTAAATGAAGAAAAATTAATTTTACAGTTTTATATATCTACTTATATATTTCTTTGCACGTATAGTAGAACAACATTATTTATATAATTTAAAATATGTTTATTTCGATTAAATTATATATTATATTACAAAATACCTAATGAGAAATTTTAATTTTAATAATTTATTATGAGATTTTTAAATAAAAAGAAATAAATATAATTTAAAAGTATTTTTTTCGTATTTATCATACTGTAAAATAATAAATTTTTATTTAAAAAGTATAAATTGAGTATTAATGTTTAAAAAAAAAAATTAATATTTAAAATAATTTCGTAAATAGCTTTATTTCAATATTAAATATATAGAAAATTAAAATGTCGTATCTATTTTACCGCAAAAGTTTCTACAAAGCAGAAGATAAATATAATAATATTCATGTTATAAATAATGATGTTGAAAAGATGTATTCAACTGAAATCTAGATCTTTGTATTTTAACCTTTTTATAATATGAAATTATCATTTCTGATGAAAGTATCCGCATATTTTGAATAATAATTATAATAAAATAATAATAACTTCTTATACATATAAATTATTATTACTCTAATGTTCATTATATTAGAATACATATTTTCTAATAAAGAAATTAATTATATCCATTAAAATAAAGAATATATTCAATTTTTAATGTGAAATTGTCATTGTAAGAATCAGCTGTTTAGACAAATATATTTTTATGTAATTTAAAACTATTAATAGTTAAAACAAAATTATCATATTCTTTAGGAAATATTATGTTATTATGTAATTGATCAGATTAATTATCTCTAAAGTACAATGTTTCTCTAAATAATCAAATGTATATTAAATAAAATTGTGGTTTTTCAGAATTTAATTAATTAATTTATTTCATACTTATAAATTAATGTATTATAGGCTTAGTAATAATATTATTTATGATATAATTAACTTCATTTAACGCACACGCATATACACGCACACACAATTTATGTGAGATTTTAATAATATTATGACAAAAGTAAAATATTGTATTAATATTATCAAGTAATAGGCTGCAATAGTAATGTGTATAAATTGTATTTGAAAATAAAATTTAAATGTTAAACATTTTCATAAAACCTAAATAGTTTATAGAAATTCTGTATTATTTGCCCTTATATTAAAAAAAATCCTTGACATGTTTATACGATTATGTAGAAGCATTCATAGAATCACATATAAATAATCGTAAATACCTTTTTTTATCTATTTAGAGAATATTTTTATACCATACGAACCAAATGAACTGCATGCATATATATATATATATATATATATATACATGAACGTATCGCTGAATAATAAAAATATTATATATATATATATATTCTTTTGTAATTTTAAAAGTTATACATTAAATAATAAAAAAAATTACTTTATCTATAATATATAAATATTTTTATTTTTAATAAGTAAACCAAATTCTATTTCACATGTATTATTTACCGCCCCTTCCCTTTCAACATTCGTTGAGTTACACTACTTTACCAGTAGTGTATATCATGCAATAAAATATATCGTACTTTAATCACATAGGAATAGTAATCAATGCCGAATATTTTGATTCATGGTGTATGACTCGCTTAGTTAATCAAATTTTTTTTCTGGCGTTAACTCTTTCATGTGTTAGTCTATTTAAATACTACTATTAATTCGAATAATGCAATGTATTTCAATCACTTTGTCCAGTTTATTTAATTAATATAAAAGGTAAATAAAAATGGATAATATATTGTTATATCGGTTATTATCTATTAATGATGAATCATTATAAAAAAAAGATTTCTTAGTCGAAAAAAACAATGTTTATATAATAAATATGATATTGTAAGTAAGTAGAGTAACAATATAAATTTTTCTGATAGATTTTGATTAATAAATAATTATTTATTCATTTACAATATATTTAATAGAAAAATACAGCAATTATTATCACAATTTACCTTAATATTTTTATATTCTGTACAATTTTATTCGTAATAATAATAAAATTATTATATATAATATACAAATGAAATAAAAAATTCTTTTAATGCTTTGAATTTACTTTTAAACTATTTTTTGAAGTTTGTTTTATCAAATTATGATTAAAAAAAGTTTTTATAATTTTACTCATATAATTATCCTTATTACTAATAATGAGTTGAATATCTAAAGATAATATTAATTAGCAATAGTGCTTATGGTGAATTATGCAACAGGTGAGAGAATATGAGAATTTGAGCGCCACCTATCGTATAATATTCGAAAATGAAAAAAATTCTTCAAATATCGATCGAGAGCTGGTAAAGTACCCACTCGTATACAAAGGCAGTTACTTCGCCATTACTAAGCGTACATTAGATACTGCAGTAATTCTTACTTTGACTGTTATATTTTTTTAATGCGTTACAAAAACAAGGCGTATCAGCACTGTATATGTTTATACAAACAACTATATATGAAGTATGAAATACCTCATAGAGTCATGTCATTGTCTATTATCGAAGTGCAAGTTCAGATTGTAGAGGCGCATCAGTGAGTTTATTGCAAGTGTATGTGATATGAACAATTTTTTTAATACTTAGGCTTCGATTCTACGTCACGTACACTCTATTTCTTAATCGTTAGGAATATTGTGTCCAGTTGTTACCAAAAAGTAGTAAACAGAAAGCAGTTAGAGAAGTTGAGATGGCCGAAGACGTACTAATAACATTTTTGCCCAACGAGGTTATTGAACTCATTTTGGAAAATGAAAGTTTATCTATTAAAGATGCTATTAATTTTGCTCTTACATGCAAGGATTTACACAGAATTGTACTTGCCAGCAATAAACTGTGGAGAGCAAAATTTTTCCAAAGGTATTACTTATAAATAATATTACTTTATAAATGATTTCAGTTGGTAACTAAACATTAATTAAATAATTGTTTGATTATATTATTTGATTACATCATTTGAAAATACATGGTACTTGATAATGTATGTTAGCTAAATTAGTATTATCTGTAAAAATATTGTATCGAATAAGTTTAGACAATTCTCTTCATACATTGTCATTAGCTAATTTTGAGCATAACAATATTTTCATGTAAAATTTATTATAAAATATATTTTACTTTAATAACAAATTAACTAAAAAAAAAAAACAAAAGAAAACAAAAAAAAAAACAAAAAAAACTGTTTACAATACCTTATTCATTTTATAATCATAACATGTATTATGATATTCAATCATTTATTTTTAAGGTGGCATCTTTTAAAAGAAGTTTATATAGAATATGAAAAAGATTGTAAAATAAATAATTGGTTAAATGAAATTCAACATAGTATTAGTAGCAGAAAAGCATTGATGCATCAGCTATCTCTGATGCCTGTAAAATATTATAAAAAACAAGAACTTTCACATTCAGAGTTTAAAGACTTTGATCCCTTATTCCGTCCAGAAAAAGGAGCTTATCCTTTAGCTTATCACTTTTTAGTGGATGAATTAATAAATATAATTGAATGTCCTACAATGTAAATAAAATTTTATCATTAATGGGTAATGAATGATTTTTTACTAATAGTTTTTTCATATTTTAGACGATGTAATCTAACGAATAAATATTATGCGTATAAAGTGATACGATACATTAAACAAAATTATTTAATGGATGAATGGCACAAATTTATTAAACTACCTGCGCAAAAGCAACTTTTGGAGCTAGGAGCTACGCTTGTAGCTCAATGGAGTCAACCAGAAATACATGTTTCTTACAGCTATATAAGTGGCATGTTAGATAGCATAGTTGATTATGCTAAAAGAGTACTCAAAGAGCAATATCCTTCACACCCGCTATTCACAACATCACCAGAACAGCTTATTTATTGGAAAGAGAACAACATTGATGATAATCAATGGTCAACTGTGGAAACAAAACAAGTTATGGCAGCATTATGCGAAGTTATGTTTAATAGATTAGGTTTTCATGGAAATAACGAAATGTATTATAATTCTGAAAATTCTCTTATTAATAGAGTATGTCAATAACAATATCTATAATTAATAATTGATGAGACATTTTTTTGAATTGTATTAAGGATTTTTATAATTATAGGTTCTTGAACAGAAACATGGTATATCCATTACTTTAGCAATTGTTTTTGAAAGTATTTGTCGAAGGATGGGTGTAAAATGTGAACCAATCACTTTTCCATCTCATTTTTTACTACAATGGAAAGAAAAATAGTACTTTTTAATTTTTATTTGCTAGTTATCAATGATCTAAGATTTTAATAATTAAATAACCATATTATTTTTAGTACAAATCTTTCTAATCCTGATGAAGTTGAAAATTTTTATATCGACGTATTCAATGGTGGTCAATTTCTAACTCGACGAAATTGTCCTCGATTGGGTGATGTGTCAAAGTGTCCAATAGAACGATATGATAGACAAAATGCATCAACAGCTATAAATGTAATAAGATATTTAGAAATTAATTTATGTATAATTATTTCTATCAATTATGTAATAGAAAATAAAAAGTTTTATTAGGTTGTAGGAAGAATAGTGAGCAATTTAGAGGTTGCAGCGAGGCAACGTACACAATTGAATGGAAGAGCAGCCCGTTTACGGTCTGCTCTTGAATTATTGCACATGGTACATCCACACGATACAGTAGTCATTTTACATTTAGCACGGTTCTATATGTTATATCGAATGGATTTATCAAAATTAGTTACTGTTCTCACTTGTATACAAAAAGTATGTAAAAATTTGATTTTAATATATTATTGTAAATGGTCAACATATCAGTGTATAAAATATTTTAGGAATCAGAACTTACATCTAGAGGACCAGCAAATCACATTCTTCACATGCTTCAGGGTTATCAAATGGTTTCTGTAACTGAAGTAAGCTAATTGTAATGTAATGCTTTCGTCAAATTTCTTAAATCAATTTATAAATTTTATTCTTATTGAACTATAATCAGGAAATTATAGAAGTGAAAAAGCGGACGCCCGAAGTCAAATATGCAATAGGGATGATAATGAAACATCATAGGCATAATTACATGTGTGTTATAACTGGATGGGATTTAAAATGTGAAGTTTCACCCGAATGGATAATAGAATTTCTGGGTGTCGAAGAATTAAATAGTGGCTCTAATCAGCCTTTTTATAGTGTGTTTGCCGATGATGGTTCTTCTCAGTATGTAGCACAAGGTACTTTATTCTAATCAATATAATGAGTCGTATAATTAAAACAAAAAAATCTGTTTTGCTGCATATGTTTTAATAATGCAATCTATAAAGATATTGTTAAAAAAGTATTATAATAATATAAAATAATTTATGAATATTTATTTATAAACGTTATAAATTTTTTAAGTGATTCTCATTATATTTGCAACTGTATTGGTTTATTGCTCTATAAAGTATTATGTTTTCATTCTAATAATAATAATTTATAGTTAAATTTAAACAAATTTATTATTATAAACTTATTCATCGATGGATATATAAGATTGAATTTATTTTCAAGAACTAAGATTCTATTTAAATACAATAGATAAATTACAATAAATATATTACAATATAATAAAAAATAATTTTGCTTAGTCTATATTTATGCAATTTATTTATTAATTATATTAATCAAAAGTTATTAGGGATTAATTACAAGGAAAATTATTATTAAATATAACATCTTATTAATATTTTATTTGCTCCAAGAATTTTTGAAATTATAATTAAAAATTTTAAAAAGTAATTTATTAAAATTATTTTATTACTAATAATGTAAAATTTTATTAATTACATGATATTAATTCATTTTATATTTTAGGGTTACTCAAAAACCTTTTATAATACAAATTTCAATATTACAATAATACTTAACAATAATAATTAACAATTGTGTTGTTTAGGTTACCAATATATTTTAACATATAAAAAGAATTTAAAAGTAGTCTTTATTTTTCTATTATGTATTTTACTTTTTTATTTTTAGAAAATTTAGTAATGACTACAAATCCTGGTTGGGTTGATCATTTTGAAACGGGAAGATACTTTGTGGAGTTCCATGGAACTCACTATCTGCCTAATAACGAAAAAGCAAGAGAATATCCAGAAGATGATAAAGTTCGACAAAAACTACTTTCAAAATATTTGTAAAATTTCCTTACAATTTTGTACATTTTAAATTTTGTTCAAGATATATAATACAAATTATGTTTTTTTTATTTAGCAAACCTTTTTTTATATCTTATTATATTATTCAACTTCAATAAAGTGTTGAGTAGAGAATTCAATAGACTTAAAAAATTTTAAAAATATTTAAATCATGAATCATTATGAGGTGAAATTTTCAGATATTTATAATACATACTTTTTACTAGAAAATAATTTACACAGATACTGAACGATATATTGGAAATTTAATTTTTAACATGAATATTTATATCTTTCATATATAAAATTAAATATATGTTCATCTTCGTTTCTGAATTCTAGAAAACATTGAATCCACAAAAATTATGTTTGACATGAAATAATTTTATTATTATTCTACATTTATAGATATATATATATAGTTTTATATATGTTTAGAAAAATATAACAATAAATATTTAGTACAACAGGCATTAGTTTAAATGGGCAACCCTATATTGCATAATATAGTAAAAAACTGAATTCATAAAATCAAGGAAATAAGTAATAATAAAGTCCTTTTTTATCATTTATTATTGATTATTGACTTAAGCAGTTTTATTTGTAATTTATTACCCTGTAAATCAAATTTGAAGTATCTCTGTATTAAAATTAACTAACAATTTTTTTAACTTAACAGTTTCGTCAATACATGTATAATAAAAAAAAAAATATATATATATATATAATTTAGGTATTATTAGTTAATAAAAATGAAAATTTTTTTTTACTTATTAACGTTAACTTTTAATGAATCATGATAAATATATTTTATTATTTATTTTAGAAATTAGATACCAAAATATATTTTTTTATCTAAAATACAAAAAAATTATTTAATAAGTTACTAATACATAGATATAAGTATCGATACATTAAGACAATATAAATATTAATCATTTTAACTAAAATTATGTTAATTTTAAGAATTTTGGAAATCAATATTTATATTTAGCTATATAATATATAATGTGCAAAGTAAGTATAATTTTATGAAAATATAAAGATTATATTTATTTACAGAACAAATAGTTTTTATTATTATAATTACCGAGTGACAGCTAAATAATATCGGTGAATATTACTAAAAATATTAAATTATTAAAGCATTATCTCAATATACTATTATAATATATAATTATCTTTATATACTAAAGGAATTTATTAATAATAAAATTATAAAGCATCTAACGATTTATTTTATATTACATAATACAAAATAATATTAGAAAAACTTATGTTGAATATTGACTAATAATTTATTTTAATAAAATTAAATTTAATAAAAATAAGATATTCCATTGTATTAACTGCAGCTCAGTATTTAACAGACAAGCAACAAAAGTAATTTTTTTTTATACCAATTTCTTGATGAGTGTATTATATATTAAATTGGAAGTTCATTTATTGAATCAAATTGATGTACTAGACTTGAAAAATAGAAAAATAAACGTTTCATTATTGATTAATTTATATATTTATGAATTCTGTTCATATAAAATACATTTATAATATAATAAAAATATATTAATAATATATATAAAGAAATATCTTCATTAATGTAATGTTAATGAAAATACCAGTAAGGTATAATACAATTGATATATATTAATTTTATTAAATATATAGCTGTAAATCTTTGTTATATTTAATTATTATATTAATAAATCATTTATAATTAATTAATTATAAATTTATAGAATTAATATTCATTAGGTACACAAGATTTTGTTATTTAATACATGATATTTATATATAAAATAATACATTATATATATATATATATATATATATATATATATATATATAGTATATATTGTTAAACTTTCACATTATTATTATTAATTATTAATATTTCTATTAAATTGATATAATTTTATCAATAAAATAAATAAAATATGAATTCTTAAGTAACCGTTTTGGAACATGTTAGACGAAATCCGATACTTTTTCAACTAATATAAATGGGAGCAATTTTTGTATTGTCTTTATACATAAATATATTTCTTGAAATAAAGAACACTGAAAGAATCAATTGAAAATAATATTTTAATTTATGTAATTAAATATCGTGATGATTTAAAATAAAATTTCTAATTGGTCGAATTATTGTAATTGCAGACCATTATTTTCATTTAAAATTAAAATCGGATTCTATACATAAGGATTTGCCTAAGTATAATGCTTCACATTGTGTCCTTATATAATTAAAATGATTTTCAGTTTTTCGTCTGATAGAATAAAATTTCTTGTCAACTATATATTTGAAATCGAAAAAATCAAAACAAAATGTGTTATTTTATTTTTATTTTAAAATGAAATTCATTATATTGTAGAAGTATGTATTTTACTATTAGTAAATTTTCTAAAAATGTAGCTAAATAATGGTCATATTAAAAATAGAACGGACGCTTTATTGTTTCATGTCAAATGGAGGATATAAGTCATGCATGTCGATGATGAGTTCAACAACATAAATACGAAGATATGAACTGCTGATTCCTTCTAAAATAATCAGCAACGTAATTACAAGTAATAAAAATAAAAAAATTGAAGTTTTTAATAAAAAATTTCTAATATTTTGTCATAATAAATATAAATGTAAAAATGATATTAATGCTAGTGTGCTTATGAAATAAATGTTTATAACAAAATTTTTATTATATTTAATGATCTAATATAATGTATAATATATAATTAATTTACAAATTTTTTATTGAATTTATATTGATCTAATAAATTTTGTTTAATGGATATTATTCTGTATAATTAGAAAAAAGCTACTTAAACGTTAATAATTCAGTTATCGGTAGTTACAATAAGGTTTTTTTTTCTTGAGTTGTGATGTTAAGTAGAATTGCTGTAATTATATTACTCATCGTCCTCGGCCTCGTCGAAGGAAATTAGTCTCATCATTATTGTTTGCTGAGTAACTAATTACTTTTTAGATTTATTAATACAGACGACCACATTAAAGTTGTATTTACAGTGCATCAATACTTCAGATTATATATTTTTAATCAAATGACATAAAAATACAATTAAGTAATTTAAAATTTGTCTATATATCGGAAAATTTTTTTTAATTATCTTATTTCATGAGTTTTTATTAATATTCCACTATACTGACTAGTTAATTAGTGTTTGATTAAAACAGTTATATTGTAATTATATATAAATATATTTTTAATTTAATTAAATTTATAAATTACAAGTGTTTAAATTATTTTTAAATAAAGAATCAACTATAACTTACAATATATATCAGTAAAATTTTCCTTCCAATTGTTTATTTTATTTTTATATTATTTTATATTTTACATAAAATTATATTTGATTAATAATGAACAATTTTCATTTAACATATTTTTAACTGAAGATTCTTTTTATTATAAAATAAATGGTTTGAAAACAAATTTCTGTATTGAGAAAATTTTACTATAATAACTTTTCTTCTTTCCATATAATTTATATTCTATAAATAAGAAATTAATGTGTAACGATATTTATTAAATTTAGAAGCACTTTCGATATATTAATTTTGCAATTATTGCATTATTCCGTACAAAAATAAATAATCAAAATAGCATAGGCGAACGTAGAATAAATGTCATATTATTAATGGTAATTTGAATAGATGTGCGTTGAAAATTATTATCGTTGTAATATTTGAAATGAAATATTAGTCATCTTAATATAGTCGACACATATTAATTTAATCAAAAATTCAGTTTAAAATATATAAAATTTTAATTCCAAAACAATTACAGTGATAAATATACTTAAAATGAATCCATACTCTATATAAATTTTAATATCACGCAAAAAAAAAAAAAAAATTCCTATCATTTGGTATCAACTTTATTTTTTAAGGGGATTTATTTTTCAAAATAAATTTCTGGTTAAATAGTGGAATTTGTATTGTAAATTCATTTGACGCCTCATCAACAATATCCCAATCAGTCAAAATTACTTATGGACTCTACTAATTCATATATTTGCTTATAATGATTTAACAAACTTGATTTACATATAATAGAATGTTACATATTACATATTGCGTTCAATTATAATTGTGAACACAAACTTGCAAAATCAACACACAGTCTTTTATTTTATATTTATGCTATTTTCTAAAGGAGAAAAAAATAATATTATATATTTGTTCTTTAGCAAATATTATTAACATCATTTAACTAATATTCATTCACACTTATTAATATACATTAACAAACATAATTAGAATTATATATAATTAGAATTATTTTGACTTTTATTTTATTGATAAATATATTAGAGAATCGTTTATTACAAATTCTAAATTCAATTATTCATTACCAAAATTGAACGATAATGCATATGTACATATAAAATTACGAATGATAGTTTAATATGAAACATGTTTCTATGATTTTAACTGAATCATTTTCTGAGCTCCTCTATTCGCAACGTGCTGTAATACAAAAAATATTAACACACAATTCATACAAAATAATGACATTATTTATGTGGTTTTTATTTAATTTTATTTTATATGGTTTTCATTTTAAATAAAATTTATATTAAATTTTTCAATAGAAGTATTAAAAAATATTAATTGTATCCATTAATCGTCAATTTTTTCAATATTTATACAATCATGATTCTCCGAAGGAATTTCTAAAATCTGCAAGGGTATATAATTTCCTGAGGAAATCAAGATAAAAAATAATAAAATTAATTGCATATTGTATGACAAATATTAAGATCGGATTAATATAAAATAATAAATAGCATAATGGATAATATATATTTGAAAATGTAACTATTATGTCATCAAATTATTTATAATTCTTTTCTTTTGATTTTTGTTTTATTCATATACGAGACTTATTTGATTTTAAAATTTTTTTTTAGTACTTCTTAGTTATACAATTCATACGTAACAATATACATTCAATTCCTATCATAATACATTTATAGTAATACATGACTTGAAAATCCCATTATAAATAAAATACAATTAGATAATATATATTGACAATATTAGAATAACAATTAGATATTACATAAAATATAAATTAATTAATTCAATCAACTTAATAGATAAATATACAAAACTTATAAATAGGTATTTTAGATTTATTTTTAATTTTTATTACAATAGATCCGTATCAAATAATTAAAACTTAAATTTTATAGACTGTATATATAAATTTAATATATAATTTTTCATTTTTATCATTCTATTACTTACATTTTACATTTTATATATTTATTATTACAGTTATAAATGGAAAAATACGTTTTTTTTTCTTCTAAGAATTAAAATGATAATTTCTAAACAATATACGAGTTTTAAAAAATAGTTTTTTAATGAAATAATTTAAAACTATAATGGATAGTTTAATATAATTAATAGTTCGTTTAGAGAATATAATAGACATATTTGTAGAATTTTAAAAGTTTTTGTTTATTATTCGAACAAAATTAATTAAATACATTATTTAAAGGGCTATAATATTGTATTATATTATAAATAGAATTAAAATGAAGTATGAAGATAAGTGTTCTTTAATTAATTCAGGTCAATAGGAAAAGATGACACACTTGAAAATTATATTGAAAGTACAAAGACTTATATGTAACAAGTATTTTTTTTATAAATAATCAGAATATAAGCTCATAAGTAATACAGAAATATTTGGAAAAAATTAAAAACAAAATAACGACATTCCTACATATTTAAAATTCTCATGGATAATGGATCAAAAATATATTAATTTAACCCTGAAATAAATCGTGCAGAAAAATATGCGGTACGCATCACAAATTAAACAATATCACAATTGTGCTATTAATACTTTTTATTAATTTTTTTTGTATATTATCTTTAATTAATACGTTCAAATTAAGCAATTCTCAATAGCTTTTATATTCTATATAATGTTTTAATATTGTTATAGAATTTTTTAATAGTTTTAATTTATATAATGTATTATATAGAATTTATTCTTTACGTAAACATATTGTGTTTACTAAGTGTTGCCTAATTCTTTTGTAATGACTAATATTAATTAGATGATTAGAAAGTAAAAAATATATTACAACTTTTTTTTAAAAATAGATTAATTAAAAACTGTGATAGATGCCAATTATTACCAAAGGAAAATAAAAATAATTGTAAACTATAAAGAATAATGTGGATAGAAATACATATCAGCAAAATTAATACAAAGAATGTAATAAATACTTATAAGATGTATGTGTATATATATATATATATAATCATAATACTACATATATAATTAGATCATGAAAAATATTCATCAAAACAATAAAAATGATAAATAAAAAAATATATTTAATACAAAAACTTTATATTGTATGCAGCAGAAATATTATAAACATTTAAAATATTGTGACGAAAATGTATGGATTATTTTTTTATACTTATTATTTTCATTTATAATGAAGTTGATATGCAAGATTTACATTATCTATTTTCCATTATTTTTATTGTTATAAACAAGATTTCTTTATATATTTATATATCACATAATGAATATTATTAAGATTATCAATATTGATAATTTCATGAATAGTGTTAAAAATTATAATGTATATTTTAATATATATTACTTAATATTTATTTTATATTTACATTCTAACAGACAAGTCATCTTCTTCATCAACATTGTATTAATTTATGCTTACCTCGATATGAAAAGATGTTATTACGGAAACAGCAATTATACAAGTATTAAGATTTTCGATAGTGTAGAACCCAGCCATAAATAAAGTAATGCGTGGAAAAATTTAACTTCAGAATACAAAGATTCAAAAACCTTCTTAACAATTATTAAATATACCCAAATCTGATATACGAAGTATTTATTTGTATCTAGATAATAATTTTTATACACCAATACATATTTTTAAGCTTATGAAATATATTGATTAATCAAGCACATCTCATAAAATATCAACTTGTAACAATATTAAACAATATTTTCAAGTATATATTTTAAATCACAGTATATTCACGCCCGCTATAATTAAGTATTATTAAATAAATTATGAAGGAAAAAAATATTATCTTTAAATTAGTAATTAAAAATGAATGAATTTGTCGAAAAATATTATAACATATATACACACACACACACACACACACACACACACACACACACACATATATATATATATATATATATATATATATGTATGTATAATAATGATATTAAATAAATTATAATATTTAATAGTTGACAGAATATTATACTTTTATTTCTCATATAAATATGAAATTATTATAATTCATTATAGAATTATAAACCTTCAAAAGTGAAATTGTGAGTTTGTCTTTAACTAATTGATTATCTATAATAATAAAAATTATATATGTATATATCTGTTGTCTTAAAGATAAAGAACGTCTTAATGACCAAGAGCACAATTCATTAAGTTTCGAGCAGTATGGCATTCATTATCCTCTTCTAAAAATAAAATTAAAATACGTTCATATTGCAAATCGATATTTCAATTGTAATAATAAAAATTATATAAATAGCAAGGAAAATACAAAATTACTTAATCAGTAGAATAATAATAATAAAACAAATGTAACTGTAAATATTATAATAAAAAATATTGTTTTTAATAAATGTTTAATTTTACCTTTTATGCGTTCAAATATTTATTTTACTTACTTTTCATACTACATAGTTCGATATTCTTTTGCATAACATCTCTTTGTACTCCTGGTCGATTTGTTACTAAATGCTCAATAGCTTTTTGCAAATCAATAGTGCCATCTGGATTTAACTATAACATATTAAATTTATATAGTCTTTTGTAATTAAACAGGATTATAGAGGCTTCCTCTAAAATCATAAGTTTTTCAAATAAATTTTAACATCTGCACAGAATTATTGATAAATCTGATATAAGCCTTTAGCTGTATAAATAAAAATGTAATATTTAAAAACTTAATTTTATATAATATAGAATAAGAAGAAATGCAATAATTTAAACAATTTATCGAGAGACTTACAATCTTGTAGATCTTAAACATACAAGCGTCTACACATTCGATATCGGCATTGTTATTTCGAGTCTTGGATGCTTGAATGTATCTTTCGAGGGTAATTTTATTTTCTTTAGTGCAATTTTGCAATACTTCCATATAATCCGGATACTGAGCTTCATTAGAAACTGCTTTCGTTTTCTATAAAATATTCACGATATATTAACTTCTACTTAACGAATACAAATGAATTTAATATTAGACATTGTTATTTAAGTAAATATTTTTATATTACTCGTTCCGCAATAATATATAACTTTGTATTATTTCATAATTATTTAAATATCTTTAAAAATTAAGGAATAAATTGAAAATGAAACTGAATTTTCTTTATCCTTTTAATATTAAAAAATTAAAATTAGATTTTGTAAAAATTCTCGACAAGCATTTTAAAATATTGTAATAATTTATATCTTAAAAATCTCACACTGATTAAAATAATAATGTCAAGTATGCAAATTATAATGAAGAAGCGCATTTTAAGTTTTTAAACGATCTGCTGCAATACTTTATTCGTGCACTGAATTTATAGTATAACGCCGAAAATTATTCACTTTATAGAATCATTTAAGAGTAGGAAGTCACAATTGTCCATTTATTAATGTGTTAATTATAATGAACGATTTTTCAATTTTATACTTACGATTTTCTTCATACTGACATTCAAATTATTTTATAATTCGCATAATGTTAAAGTTGTATGTGTGTGTGTGTGTGTGCGCGTGTGTGTGTGAGTGCGCGTGTGTGTGTGCGCGCGCGTGCGTGTACTTAAGTGTAATTATAACAATAATAATTATAATACTTAATTTATTATATTAATATTTCAAAATATTACTAATAAAATATGTACCACTTTCAATATGCTTTAGTAACGATTGCAGTTAATAATAATAATGTTATTCTAAAGTTTTAGCAAATAATTCAATGTATTAATATGTAAATGAACGTTTTAAGAATGTATTATTAAATTTGTAATATTTGCTTAAAATATATTAGAAATAAAATGAATTAAAAATATACAGATTTTGAGTAATTATACATCAAATCTCAATTTATTTCACAGGATATTGCATCCTAAAAGAAAAAGTATATGTGCAATAATAGTTTGAATATTATTAAAATGAAATTATATCTTTCCATCTGAAATAATCTATGGTTGAATACGTTTTGGGCTTTTGTATTTTTCCTTCCGAAATAATTATTACAAAAATTTACTTGTATTTATCGTGTTTTGACATGTTAGTGTTTTCACATATAATACAATGTTATGATCGAATATTTATATTGATATATTAAAAATTACAAAGGAAGCTTATCAAAAAACAGTCAATATATATCTACCGATGTAGAAGATGAAATATCAATCAAATACACTTCTTTATTGTGATGCAAAGAGATCATCAATATAGTTAAATCTTCCATTGCCGTGGTATTCTATAGAGGCCTTATAATGAGTCACATCCTGATAGATAAAGAGAGAGAGAGAGAGAGAGAGAGAGAAAATAAATAAAACCGTTTAGTGTAGTTTATCCTTCAAGCAATCAGGACATTGCATAAGCTAATTTTTTGTGTATAAAGTTGTGCACAGAATCTGAGATGCCATGCTAATATCAAACATATTCGTGCACATGCAAATTCGTACAAAAATCAAAAAGTAAAAAAATATATTTTTTATTCTTTCTACGTTTCTACCAATTTTAATGAAGAACCGAAAATGTATTATATTCTTTTGTCAAAATCTCGTCCTTACTTGTCCTTCAAAGACTAACAACTACGCCGGGTGCATTATAATTTTTGTCTACGATTGGTAAAGAAAAGATTTTGAAACACATACATCCAATCTATTTTGTTAAATATATATATATATATATATATATATATACATGTAAAAATGTTATAGTATAAAATTAGATTTTATTATTATTAAATTTTGTAATATCAATACAAAATATGTTTTATATGAAACATAAAAAAATTGGATGTATTTATAGTATTGTATTGTAGAAAAAATATTTGCAATATTTTTCACAAATCTTTCAATAATGTATTTAATTCTTGACTATATAAATAAATTTATATTTTATTATAATATTTATAAAATTTCAAATCTAAATCTTTTTAGAATACTCATAATAATGAACAAACTCCAATTAAAGTGTTAGATGACTGTGACCAAAGTGTAGGTAGATATCATTAGCTAACAAATTTAGTTATATAATATAGCAAAATTTTATATCTATAGATTAAAACTAAGATTTAAATAACACATTTTATTTAATTTTTATAATAAAAAATATCGTTAAAGTGTTTTAAATTAAAAATTTATATGTATGTAACATTACCATTTTTTATAGCTTACGTTGTACTTTGAAATTCGCATTGCAATTATAAAAATAATAAATATTACGATGTTTTTGTAGAATTTAAAGTAAACATATGTAGTGATATAGTATTATGTATCATTTTTACGAGAAACTATGTTGCTATTATAAGCAATTAAATAAATTAAATATAAAAATATACATTTTAATTTAACTATGTCTTTATTTAATATATTGTTTTTAAAAACTTTTCCATATTCTAAATAGTATTTTATAGATGGCTTAATAACAAATTAAGTTAAATTTCAAGATATATTATTAGGTATATTAAGCAATAAATTTTAATGTCACAAAATCGAAATGAAAACTGTTTGTTTTTGTGTTAGGGTATACATTATATTTATTGAAAACTATGTATTTTTAATTTTTTTAAATTTTGAAAGTTGAATTGCCTTATATAGGAATAATTAATATATATATATACTAATTTATACATATAGATTTATAGTAATGTACATAAATAAAGTGTTTTAAATAATTATTATAAATAAACTGTTTTTTTTTAATTAAACTATTACTATATCAAACCTATTTTATTTATAATAATTGCAAATATATTGTATGTTAGTAATTGTTTGTATACAACATTTTGCTTTCTGAAACAATTTGATTAATTAATTAAATTTTTATAATATATATAAAATGTAAAGTTTGTGTAAATGCTTTATAAACAAAGTGTTTGTTATCGACGATTATATTATTGTCTGAAAGTAAATATAATTAGTGAATTTATAAACCATCTGTTAATTAAGTCTAAATTATTTTTTCATTCTATATTAAGAATAGTATAAAGAAATTTTCTTATTGTAAGAACATCTGATAAGAAGTAGTAAAAATATAATATATATATATATATATACATTATTACAATTCTTATACAATTCTTATAATACATAATACAATTCTTAGAAAATTGAGTTATTTTTTATTCGTTAATAAATTTATTCTAACTATTTACATGCCACAATTTTCAGTTTTTGAATAAATACAAAATTTAAATTCATTATAATATAAATAATAAAATAGTATATATTTCAATAAATAATTTAAATTTTATAATGTGCAATATGATTTATTGCTTTTTAGAAAATCATGTTATTGTTTATCTTATAGTAATTGAAGCTTCATATGTAACGCGAATATATACTCCTAATGAGACAGTTTTCAAAAATGTAAATCAAGTTCTTTAAAATAATATTATTTGCATATTTAATTAAATTTAATTTTATAGTATTATTAATATAAAGAACTTTATTTTTGGAATTTTTGAATTTTTGTTCGTTGTGTTAAAGTTTGTTGTGATAGAGCTTTAAAACAATTACTGCAATTTGTTTAAAATGTGTAATTTTAATCGCTTATATAAAACACTATAATTCCGTTTACAATTATCTTAATTTAAACGATTTAACAATATATTTAAATTGATCTAAGTGAAACTATTGTACTTTCGATAATTTATGAATATTAAATTAATGATATGGATTACGCTTTCACAATATAATGTTATGATGAACTTGCAATGTCCTTCATCTTGATAATTGTTATTCTCATCATCGTTCACATGTCTGATGGCTCTCCGGAAGTTTTTGGTGTAGTCCCCACTTTTCTAGGAATACTGGTGTCGAGCCGCTATTATTCAGCCGATTGTAGAGGAATAAAAAAGGTGATTGGGGCGTGGGGCGAACGTAAATCTCATGCGTATAAAAAGGCTGCAATTTCAACGACTTGTATTCAGTCTTCAATTAGAACTTACACTTCGACATTTTAGGTAGATCCTTTAACCAACCTCTATTTTTCAAGATGAAATTCTTCGTAATTGCCTTTGCAGCGTGTATCGTCAGTGCTTTTGCAGTAAGTACAATTCCATAAATATGTAAATAAATATGTAAATATTAATAATCGTTATTTATAATGTTTATTCATATTTTATTTGAATGTCTTCTATTATGAAAAATACAATTATATAACTTATAGAGTCAATTAGCTTAATTAGTAATAAATAATTAAATAATTATAATAAATTATTTACATTTTATGAAAATCTTTTTAATGCGTAGAATTTTGTAAAAAGTTTCTGTTAATTATTTATATTATTGAAATATTTTTAAAATTTATTATCTCTATATCTTTATACAATATTATTACTGCTGAAAAGAAAAAAATTAAATAAATTAAAAATTTATCTTGAATAAATGATGGATAATATAATTTAACGAAAATTTAAATTCGTATTTACAGAAAAAAATATTAAATTTAAGCAAATAAATTTTTATTATAATAAATTATTTACATTTTTAAATAATAGGGAATTACTGACGAACAAAGAATGAAATTAAAGGAATACAAAACTGCTTGTATTGCTGAAACCGGAGTTGACGAAGGTAAGAGTTTTTATACTTCTTGAAAGAATTAGGTAAACGATCGATAAACATTAAACGACAACAAATTAATTCGTGTAAAATTCATTATACAAATTATAAATTTTCACTGTTTTAAAACCCTATGAATTTATTTACTATAACAGGGATATAAAGTTAAGTTGTTATGATCAATCAAACATTTAAAGACATGAAAATTATTTACGGACAAGTTTCTTGGCATAATTTTTATTTTTTCGTTAGTATAAATTTATTTAACAATATTTTTATTAAAAGATTATTATTATCCATAGTATTTTCTTATTAAATAATCTTATTTGTCAATTAATTAACTTTTTTTCTGTACGTTTTCAGCCGTTATTGACAACGTCAAAAATGGAAACCAAGTTGAATTTGACGATAAAATGAACTGTTTTTCGGCTTGTATGTTCAAGAAGGTTGGAATCGTAAGTAAATAAAATAAATAAAATAAATAATCTGTAATAAATGTAATTAAATAATTACACAATAACGCTTTTAAAATACTTTATAATTTATTTCTTAATATATTTGTTCAAAACCATTAGTTTTTTTTTTTTCTAGCTAAATGTTTAGTTTAATTAGTAGATATTAATTCATGAATTTATATTCTTAGATGAGACCAGATGGCACTATTGACGATGAAGTTGCGAGGGCTAAAGCACCTCAAGATTTACCGATGGACAAAGTAGATCAAATTATTGAAACGTGCAAAGCTCAAGGTAATAAGTGTTTAATTATAATAATTTGTACAATGTTCGATTAAATATCAATATTTAATAATCTCCAATGAAGCAATGAAATATTTTTAATTCGTTTGACTCGTAAATATTAAAATATATATATTTTAACTTTGTTTATTTATTATTAACGGATTATTGATATATATATATATATATATATATATATATTTGCTTAAAAAGATTTCAAAATTATGTATGATTTTATAATATATTTCAAATACATATATTTATCATATAATTATTAAAAGCTGTATTTTATTTTTATTTCCAGTGGGAAAAGATAATTGCGAGACTGGAGGCAAAATCATGAGTTGCCTTTTGAAAACTAAAACCGGTACCATCTTGGATTAATATCATTTTATTATATATTCTTATTTAGTTATATGTCACTTATTGTGATTATCTATTCTATATTTTTTAACGTACATTTGTAAATAAAAATAGACTATGCAAAGGAAAAAAAATTGAGAAATTCTATCTTCTTTATCAACTACCCATTCATATATATATATATATAGACGCCGACAAACATGCATAAAATAAATAAAAATTAGAAATAACTGCTTTTAACTCTATATAAAATACTTTTCATTTTATTACTTTTATTATAATTTAGTAATATCACTTATTATAAATCTTACAATACAATATTTTTGGAAGTTTTTAAACGATCATTTTCATTTTTAGTAATTTTTAGTCATGAGTATTAAACAAATAAAAATAAATAAAAATGATTGAATAATATTTACTAGACAAGTTTATATTTTATAAATATTATTATGAAGTACTTAATACTTCAATATTTTTTTATAATTTGTTTTATATAATTAATATATAGTTTTTTAAAATAAAAAAGCATGAAAATTAATTATTCTTATACGTTTTATAGTTACACGTGCTCTATCGCAATCATTTATATTAATCGTAATTATTATTAATGCTTTAATAAAATTTGTAATTATAAATAAAACAATAAACTACTTACATCAATGGAGACATTTGAAACAGATAAAATGGCTCAACAATATTTATTAATTATACAAAAGGAAAATATAATACAACATAAAATATACTTTTTATGAAATTTATCTACACCTTATATTGATAACTGGTTACTCACAATTTTATTTTCGGCATTTATTATTATTATATCAATACAAGAATTCCACCAAATATTTTAGAAAATTTTATAAGCACTTTTTTTTTTAATTTAGTTTTTCCAAGGAGTTACTTATATTGTTGGAGTATAAAATAATGAGTATTGTATTCATTACAATGAATATCATTTAAACTCTATGGAAACTAATTACTTCTGAATCTGTTTAATTGTGCAAAGAATTGAATGCTTATACGACTATATTGAATTATTTTATAATTCTTGATTCACAATAGAAATAACAAATTTATTAAAATATACAATTATATGGTATTAATTTTAAGATATTATTATTATTTATGAATTTAAAATTAAAATTTCATGTATATTAACATAATCGTATACAGCTATTTATATGATCAAGGGAACAAATAAATTTAAATAATTAATTTAGGTATCAATCAATCCGACAGATATATTAAATATAATATCGATATTATAATATCTGTCTTCATTGTGATAAATTTAGAAATACTAAAATTATTTTAAAAAAAAAGTAAATAATGACAATCCATTTTTAAAACAAATGTTAATTGCTTTAAAGTTATCAATCAAGTAGTTAGGCCCAAATCGTTATATATCGTTTAATAGCTAAAGTCGTTATGTGCCTCAAAGAATCATTAACATATAAAATGACATGTTAAACTGTGATCATTTCTCCATAGTATCGTGACAAATTCAGAGATAGTATTTACAGTCGATCCTGAAATGTATTCAGTCTGCTCCATTACTTTTTTTTTTATTTTTTTTTTAAAGATGAAGCATTTACTTATTGTGTCCATCGTCATTAATAATCACAATATGTTTTGAACATATTTTTGTATAAAAGTTTCAAATTCTTTCCGCGCCCACAGATATTTATTTAGATACTTATAGAATAGAAATCTTATATTTTTATTTTCATTTGTTCAATTCTTTTTCATTGTCATTCAAATTATAACCAATCAAATCTATGGTAATATCACTTAATATCATTAACATCATATATAAATTAATTTAATTACAATCATAGTTAAAGAAAAAAAAAAAAAGATATATTATTGTAAAAAGTCTCGCTAAAATATAAGATATTTGGAATAATTTATTAAAACAATGTGTGAAATTTGTTGTTTATTGATTAAATATGGTGTTTTTTTAATATTTGTCTTATATGATAATTAAGAGACCTTTTGAACTTGAGAACATCACTACCATATTCACGTAAATATTTATCTTTTGGTTTTTTTTTTATAAAAAACTATCTCTCGTTTCTTTTATAACATTAAATGATATATATTTCCTTACATAAAGTATATGTTATTATTTTTTTTTTACATTATTTTAGTGGTTTATTAAAGCAAACTGAAATACTTAATCAGTATGTCGAATTTTATTATCCAGAAATATGTTAATAAAATATGTTTTATTACTAAATGAAAACTTCGATGACCGCTATATGGCTATATAAATTCATTTATTAAGTATCACTTAAAATTACTTGAAAATTAATCTTAAAATGAACTATTTCCTTCTAAGTTTATAAAAAATTATAAATATTTCTTATTTTAAATATTTTTAAAAATACATAAAATTTATATCTCTTTTATAAGTATTCAGAAGTGGCATTACTACAATTTCTATTAAAAATTGTTAAATAATCTTTATATTATATTATACATTAATTATTATTTTTAATTAAAGTCATATTCTAATTATTTCTTTTAATCCTACATATTTCTTGTATCATATTTTTCCTTATATATTTGTATATATATATATATATATATATATATATATATATATATATATATATATATATGTAAATATGTACAGGTGATTAGCAATATCTAATAATACTCATTAAGCATATTTATATATTCAAATGTATGCACATTACCAATATTTATGCTAATAAAAAATCAATTATTTCAACGGTTTCCTATTTATGCTGATATTTTACCATCTGAGTTGCAACAGTTTACCTTAGCGTCAACCTTTATCGATAGATGCTGCAAAATACCAGTTTCTATAATAGCATTCGCGTTTTCTAATATTATTTATACATTTATTATTATTTATGTTTATAATTATACTTATACTTCAAATGAATTGACAAAAAAAACTTCCGTTGAAATTTTTGCAAAACTTATCCAAATTTTCAAACCAAATTAACATAAATAATAAAACAATTTTCATTTTTAAACAAATTTAATAAATTATAATAAACTTATTTTTACATTAACATTAAACATTAAAATTATAGATTATAATAGTTAGATATATTGTCAGATAAAATGTAATGTTTATCATATTCATTTTGTACTAAATTCATTTTGCATTTCTTGTTATACTATTAAGACTTTCATAAATTATTTTTAACTTTACTATTACTAATTAAAATAATAATAAAGTTTCATAATTTTTTTAAAATAGTGAAGTACTTATTATATGCTTTGTTATATATTTCAAATAGTAATATTTAATGCCTAATAATTATATTTAATATTTATTGCTTTCTCAAGTAATGTCATCGTTTTTGCTTAATCCATGATAACATTTTTATAAATAATTATTAGCACATCTAATAAAAGAAACAATCTATTTATATTTCAAGTTATAAGAGATTCTCTCGTTATTTATTACAATGAACAAATAAATATTTGAATGAAAATAATTAAAAAATTATCACATACAAAAGTATAGACACTTTCATTCACCATCAAATAAATTAACACTTTCATCCTTTTCATTGATATTATTTAACAAAAAAAAAAGGCTTATATATTACTATAATATGTAATTTACATATAATACATATTATTAAGAATATGCATCTAAAATAGATAATACTATTTGATATTTTTGTTGAAAATTAATATTTTAGTCGATTTCAGTGATATTTCATCTGTACGTTTAACATGATAGGAACTGAGGTAAGTAGAATTTTTTTATTTAATTATATAATGTTTATACAATGTTATTATCATAGCTGTCGTTATAAATTGTTAAAAATAAAAGTAATGATTGTTAAAAATGATAAAAAGTGGAAATATAAGAACACTTTATTAAATTATATTTTCAATAATTATGTAATAAATCAAATATTATATTACATTTATATTACATTTACATTATATTTATAGTATATTACGAATTTTTTAATTTACAATATAATGTTTGAATAAATTAATTTTATAAAATTTTATTGCTTTGTACCATGTATTTATTCTTATCTAATTATAAACAGTAATTTTTTTCAAATTATTATGAGGAAATTATAATATATTTTTACATATTTATAAAAATAGTCTAATTTATGATAGAGATGAAATAAATGTGTATGATGTTAGTCAAATTAGCATTGAATGTTAAAAATACTTACTAACTAAGTAACGAGATAACGTAACAGATTGTGAATTATTAAAAAATTAATTTTCAATAAATGTGTATAATTGTATTAACATTTCTTTACAATGAATTACTTTGACAATGGAATGTTTATTTATACAATGAAACCAGTTCGATTATTTAATCATGTGAAAATAATTTTTTAATATATGTATATAGCTCGTTACAATTTTGAAAAATATGAAATTCCAATCAAATTTAACATTATGGTATGTAAACTGTAATAGAAAAAATGAAATGGAAAAAAATTATAGATATAATTGTTTTATTTAATAATTTTAATAATTAATATTACTTTTATTAGAAAGAAATGAAAAAAATTATGTTTTCTCACTAATAAGAACTAAATTTCTTGTAATCAAAAACTCTTTCTTCTTAAATATTTTTAATTAATGTTTAAATATATTATATACAATTTCATAAAATTATTTCTTATTACTATTATATTTTTTTTCATAATCTGAACTTATAGATTACTACTTAACTATCTAAATATAGTTTTTTTAAACATATTTTAAAATAAAATATAATTTTTAAACAGAATAATATAAAGTAATATCACACATTTGCTTTTCTGTGTTAATTAAACATTTTTAAATATTCGACGTTTGGAAAGCAGTCAACAAAATCTTTTTAGCTTTTACATTTATATATTTCGGTAGCTGATTGTATCATATTTAACTAACTCTAATTTTAATCTTACATTATACGAGTATAGATAAAATCATGATTACCACATTATATCGTTCATTTATATAAGAAATGTAAAATGTAAGCAATACGAAGTATTTTTTTGTCTTGTGCATTAATACTGGATAAAAGGAAAAATATTTAAATATTTCCTCCCACGATCCTTTATATAGTTTTTATTTTTGATGACGTTTTACATATTTTCGGCTTTGATTGGGTGACACATCTGAACCGAGGTCATTCGTTTTCTAACCAGTTTGGCAAAAATATCGGAAATATCTTTAATATTCAAAAACATTTCCATTTAATTTTTGGCATAAAATTCATTTTTTAATCAGAAAAGAAAATTTAAATTATAGACAAATAATTTTTAATTATAAACATTATAGTCTATATTTTGAGCATATATTACGTATTATTTAAAGGCAATAATATTATATTATGCAACATAATTATTGTAAGAAGTTATTATTTATATATATATTAACCCTATAATAGTTCAAAGAATAATATTATATTTTAGGAATAAAATAATAGTTTTCTATACTTGCATGAAATTAAATTTGAATAACAAAAGTCCAATTTATAATTTTTATATCATATAAACTTATAATTATTATTATTATTTTTTTTTTTTTGCCTAAAATTAATTATTTTATATTTTATTTTTCTATAAAATATTTTTTCTTATTATTTTGTAAAAATTAAAAAAATTAAAATATTATATTAAAGGGAAATATTAACTCAATTAAACATTGTTAAAAACGAAGCCGTATGTATTCATCATATGTAAACTCCGAAAATTGTTAAATGATATAAGAAAATGTAAGGCAACGCAATCATTGTTTGCATTCAAAATAAATTTTCAAATGTATTTTTCGCAAGTTGGTTTCTCTGTATGATGCTATCATATAAATGTTTAGTAAAAAATGTTCAATTATACTATAAATAGTTTATTTAATCCAATATTTTTAAACTTCCTGTATTTCAATGCAGAGTTCATAGATATGTTTATAGAAAAAAAAATCAAATATATCTAAATTCAGACCTGAATTTGTGAATTTTAAATAATTTTATAAGCAAAAAATACTGTCATATTAATTATTTTTCAGAAACTTATTTATATGATATATATTTACAAATAAATTATATATGTAAACTTTGTAGGTGTAAAAACATTAAAAACTTATATTAATGCGTATCTTGTCACTAAACACTTAATAGAAAAATCCATACATATTTATATTCACTTTAATAAAAATTATCTAAAATAAACTTTCAATTCACTGAACTCGTATACATATAATTCTAATATTCAATATCCATATAATTATATGTATATTTGTTTTAATTTAATTCATATTTAACAATTATTGAAATATTATAACAAAATTTATTTTTATTTGAAATAATCTTTAAATTGTCAAAGTAGAATAAGAATTATTTACTAACCAATATAATATACTATAGTTAGCTATTGATTAAAAAGTTATAAATTTGTTATTATCATAAATTAAATGTAATAAGTAATTTATGTGTGCAAATATTTATATATTATAATTCGATATTGTTCACAATTAAGTATTGCTATTGGAAATTTAATTTAACACTTATAATATAATATTTAAAAGTGAATGCGTTAATTAAAGGAAAGAGAGTTAAGCGAGAGTGAGCAATTAAAATAATATACAGCCTCATATGCTTTATAAATTAAGTTTTATAGACTTCTTTATGAATATAATCTACTATAAAAAAAAAAATTGTTTCTAAATTAAAGCAAATAGATCGACATTTCACAAATCAACCTTTAGATTTAAGGTTTTTATTTACATTTGCTCTCACACGTTTTATAAATTTATATACATCATTGTTATATGTGAAATAAATCATTAATATTTATCATTTAACATACAAAAAGGAAATATCACAAATTTTTTAAAATATAAGTATTTATCATATTTTCATTTTTGTTCTTAGAATATACGATGATATTCTCAGTTCCCCACTACTAGAGAAATATCCAATGAATTTCAAGGATGGCTTGGTATAAAATGATGTGGATATCAGAACTGATAGTTTGTATCGGAAGAAACAAGCTTTTGTAGAGTTTAATAATTTTTTTTTGTATTTAACATTAAGATATATACAATCCAATCATGTCTAAGATTACAACAATTATATTTATTGTTATTTTTACAGTCGTATTTGCATCTGGTAAGCTCACAAATTATATATAAGATAAATAAAGTTAATTTTCAATGCGTTAAATTAAAATTTTATTAAGTATTTACTTCATTAAGTCTCAATAAATTATAAATATCATAATCTAGAGAACTGCAAATTGAAAAAATATTGCATTTCTACAAATAATTTTGTTAACTTATACTTATTGTTTCACATATATCTTTTTTTATTATTTATTCTTTATCATATTTTAATTTTTTTTTTATTATTGTTTTTAAGAATTTATTATTGTTTCAACTAGTAAAGATATTAATTGAAAAACAAATAAAACAGTAAATATATATGAATTGGTTTAGCATTTTATCGATAAATAATTATTAGAGACATTCGTTATACTTAAAGATTTAAATTCTATTTTATGTGTTTGTCGCAACAAATTAAATGTAAATTTTAAGCATTTACAATCTAATAAATAATTTATTCCTGACATTTATATATATATATATATATATATATTGATTTTTTCACACATAGAAATTTCAATTTTTTTGAAAACTTTCTTACAATCTTCGTAATATTTTTTAAATAGATAATATTAAATTATTTTTACATTTTCATCTCTCTATATCAATTATTTTAATCTTTTATGTCATAATTATAGTTAAAGCTTAATTATTTATATATCACATATTTTAATAATTATCAAATATTTACCTTTACGAATTAATTGATTTATAATTACTTTAAATATATATATTATTTTTAGGCCAATCGAACGAAAATAAAAAATATCAATATATCCATTCAAATTATCATTATAAAATACTTTATAATATAATTAAATATAGTTAAATAATGAAATAAAGTTGTTTCATAATAATAAATGTATGTGTGCCATGTATATTCAATGCATATTTAGTAATAATTTAATAATATATGATATTATCATATTGGAAAAAAGCTCTAATATAGTAACAAATATAAATAATAACTAAAGTATAAAAAAGGTATTTTAATGTAAAATAGAAATTAGTCATAATGTATTATAAATGATCTAATTGTAATGTCATTTATTTATTAGTATGTGTAAGAAATAAACTTGAAAAAAAAAAGTTTTTAATAGGACAATATTATTCAATAAATATTTATAAACCTAAATTCTTCTCACTTGAAATCTTACGACTTTCTTCACTTTCAATACATCATCACAATATAAATGGATCTAAGTTTATGACATTTATAAAAAAAATTATATAATATGCATATATATCTATATAAAATAAATATACAATTTCAGATGAAAAGGAAACAGTAAGCCGGGAATGCTTAGGATGCATTTGTGAGGCTGCGTCTGGCTGTAATACGACACTCGGCTGTACTGGTGATATATGTGGAGCTTTCCATATTACATGGGGTTACTGGGCTGACGCTGGTAAACCGACCCTTCCTGGAGTATCTAATACCGATTTAAATGGTTTGTTACTTATTAATAATCAACACATTAAGAATAAGTACAATTTGAGAATATTCTAGTGACTCCAATTGTATATATATTATTATGAGGACTCAATATAAAAGACAATTACTTGGCAGCGCTATTTCTGTATATATATATATATATATATATATATATATATATATATATTGTTCAGTAAATAATGACTTAAATTATGACTCTTATTTTGTTACAATTTTTTTTTCTGCTAACTTCATTTTGTTTGTGATGTAATTGCATTGATATTGAAAATTTAAATTGAACAGTAGCAAGTATTAAATGACGTTTAATGTTTCATATTTTTTAATTTTTATATCTTTGCCTCATTATTGCAATTAATATTTTATAAAAAATTATTTTAGCTTATTCTAGTTGTGCAAATAACGTACAATGTGCTGGACTTATTGTAGAAGGATATATGAAAAAATACGCTAAGGTATAAATTTTATATAATATAAATCTAAATATTGCATAAGAAAAATATTTTATAATATATACATTATTTTTATAGGATTGTGATAATGACGGAGTAATTAACTGTAATGATTATGTTCGCATTCATTATCTTGGTGCATCTGGCTGTTCTGGAGCTCTGGAGTCCAAATATGAAAACGCATATAATAACTGTCAACAAATCTTTATTTAATTTTATATATTTTTTTTTAATATACGAATGTACCTATTTTTATATTTTTTATATAATAAAATATTTATATATTCGTTATTTGCAATATTAAAGTACACATTAATGATTCGTTATAGTAAATAATTCTATTTTATATTTCATTGCTCTTACTTTTTACAATTTCATAAAAATATTAATAATTTGCATTTTAATAAAATATTATTATATTTTATAATATGTAATAATAATTATTAAACAATTTATTTTCAGTTTCTTTTTTTAATTTGTATTTATACTTTGTGTAGTAGCTTAACGTATTCAGCAATCAGTTTAAAAATATACTTTTTTTTTGCTATATATTTTAATTAGTTGAAAAAATTTAAAAATAGAATGTTTCTATATTTTTAAATATTTTAAAAATTTATAAAATATATTTGACTGAAGAAACTGTGAACAAGAAAATAAAAATAAAAATTGTAGAAAGAGCCATTATAGTGGAACATGAAGTAAGATAAACTTGTACTTGCTAATAAGATTATGATGATATTTTTAATAAGTAAAGTTCACGAGATTATTAAAAAAGTTTTCCCACACTGAATAATAATTATCGTTCATATTATCTTATAATATTTATCGGTTAAATGTCTGAAGTAAGTTCCTTATTATTTATTTCATGTATTTATAAAATACTTTGTATCTAAATTGAGAATAACCCTGATTAAACATGCATATATAGTATTTATAAAAATTGGATTTATAACTATTGCAATTAATTTCATTCATTTTCCTGTGAAAATGTCAGTTATTATAGTGATATCTAAATGAGGCGATGATGAAAATTTTGAAATTTTGAAAACTTTTTAAAATTTAATGTATAAGTCACACAGACAATAGGTAAACGAAAAAAAATAATAATTTTTTCTTGAACAAACTAAATTACTAAGAAAAAAAAAACTAAAAACTAAATTACTAAATTATTATGAAAGAATTTTATAATACGATTGAGGTGAATATTTATATTCTCTTATATTCTGTTATATTATATATATATATATATAAGATATATAAGATATATATAATTTAAGAAAACAAATAACATTGATTTCTTGATCAATTGAATTTAGGGCGCCCTTTTCAATAACTATCATAAGCGATATTATGATACTTTGATAATGATAAAGAGGATAACCAAAATTACGGAATCAATTCAATAACAGTAAGAAGTTAAACAATATTATTGATCTGATATCCTTCTACTAATATTATAAGGGTGTTTTACTAATAATAAAGATTATAGATAAGAGTGTATAAAATAATATAATTGATAAATATATAATAGGCTAAATTAAATATAAAATAAAAATTATTAGTATTTTTTAGCATTTATTTAATTAGGTCAATGAATTTTTAATCCTATATAGTTGCTGTAATTACATTTAAAAAAAAATCAAATTAATTCCATGAGATAGATGAAAAATGTAAAAACATATTAAATTTGCGATTCATAAATGGTATATTATTTTCATTTAGAAAAATTTTTGAAATTCATAAGTAATGTAAGAGCTTTGTACGCTATTAAAATTCACTTATCCATTTACTTTTATGGGCTTTTAATCTACCCATATAAATATCTAATGAAGCAATTGATAAACTATATATACATATATATATATATATATATATATATATTTTTTTTTTCTTCTTTCTCTTCCCTACGCTCGTATGTCAAATAAAATCAATAAAACGTAAATAAGATAAAATTTAAAAATCCAAACGACACGGCAAGTGATTAAGAAATATGTAAATGCTCTAATTTTAATAATGACGATCTATGGTTGAGTATCGAGCATAATATATTTGTTTGAATTGTCATAATGAGCTTGAGCATATTACAATTATTATGAAATGTTTGAATGAATTAATTGGAAATTTACTGACAGCAAACGTGCGACACGCTGCACAATAATTTTAAGACGTTGCAGTATGGCGCAAAGTGGTCGAATGCAAAAAATGAGCACTGACAGGGTTGATAATTTACAGCTCCGACGGTCAACAATTACCACATTTTGTAAATTTCCAATGAGAGCCTCTTTCCAGAGCGGCGACTCTCTCGGCTTTCACGAGTTCCGCGCGTCGTCAACGTAAAAGTGGGGGCGACGTTCGTTCCAGCGTTCCTCCCTGCCGCTTGGGTTCGACAGCGGACAGGCTGGTGTGTCGGCGTCGACGACGAGGCGGGCGAGGGCACGGACGAGGGGACAGACGTATCGTGTAGAGTCGCGCGCGTCGCCTCTGTCAAACGGCCAGCACCACAGATGTGCGCAATCGCCACCGAGAGGAGCGTCTCCGCGTCAACGGCGCGTCCTGACATGCTGAGCCTGGGCCCAGGTCGCGCTCGACCATCACCGCGCGCAGAGTATGGGGGATAAAGGTACAGTCCGAGAAGTCGACTTTGTATCGCGCTTGGAAAAGAGGTGGCAGGCGCAACCATTGGTAACGCGAGCGCTTCGTTCGATCGAACGGCTGTCGAGCCTTTCCCGGGAGTAAGGTTATGTTCGTGTTTTGGCAGCCGACCTCCATCCCATCCTATCGCTTGCCGCTATGGACGGACAGTGCAGCGGCTTAATAGAATAATACGGACGCGGCCGCCGCATTGAATTATTTTGCGACGCGTCTACGATATCCTCCACGGCGAGCCTTCAATTACGGAGAAAGGAATTGATGTTATTACTTGCCGCTACGCGTACGCGTATAGCTTTTGTGCAATGCTGCTTCGTGTCTAACCAATGTACATAAAAATGTGCATAGAAATTAAAATAGTAAATAGAGCTTCGGAGTTTATGTGCCTATGGATGGGAGTGCATCAATGAAAGATGGACAGAGCGGAAATTTAAAGTGGGAGGGGATGTTTATGCACCGCGAGGTCACTGGCATGCGCTCCCACGGTATTTCCACTCTTTTTACACTACGATCAATGTCCATGCTTATTCGGATATCACACGAAAAATCGTCTGTTTTCATTCGCTTCAGCTTCCATTGTTATTTTTAGATAGTTCAGTATATTTGGCTTAATTTATTTGCATTTTCCTTAAATAGACGGATAAAAATATGAATTATTTATTCTGGGTCGTGTGTCGTGGACGCTGAATGTCGTATACAACATACCGGTTAATTAAAAATCTGTTCACACATCACTTTCCCAATTCTGTCAGTTGTAATATAAATACGACGTGCTTATTCAATCTGGACTTTATTCAAATTTTAACCGCTCATGCTTTGTAATTATTTTGAGTTACCTTGTACCTAAACTTTTTACCCAAACAAGACATTTCAAAATGACAATTTAATGCTATGATAATAATTTTTTTGTTTTGTTTTGTTTTGTTTTGTTTTGCTTTGTCTTGTTTTTTATTTTGTTTTATATAAAAATCGCTACTATGGAATAAATGTAGACGAGTGTGTAAAGCTTTCCATTGTATAACATATAACGTGAATGCATTCACATTCAAGAAGCAAATTAAAAATAAGAATACTGTTAAATGATAGCTTATTTAGAATAATTACAATAAACGTATTTATGTATTTGTTAAATTAAAGCTCACTGAACATTTTGAAGAAAAAAATATTTAAAATATCCGTAAATTTCAAATACATCATAAAAAAAAAAATACATTCTCAAGCATTTTCTATCTCTACAGTTTTTTGCGTAATGTAGTTAGGCAGACAAAATAAAAATTTAGAGATATGAAAGTGATTATAAAAATTACTTAATACAGAAAGCCATTATTAATGTTACATTTTAATAACATTCGAAGTGATTTAATTAAATTTACATGTCTTCTATACAAACTAATTACATTTATTTAATAATAACACACGTTGAATACAATAATATTGGAATAATATAATGTAGGAGGTAATTGATTGAAACAAAATAATAAATTCTTTTATTTTACAAACACTATTGCATATATTAAACTATATATAAAAGAAGATAAATGTACAATAGAATATTTCATTGTTTTTGGAGACATACAGCATAAGTATTATTATTCAATATATATTTTAGAAAATTATTAAAAATATGCTCCCTTTCTCTGAAATAAAATAAACAATTATTAAAATGATTAGAATTAGTTACATTAACTACGATAATGAATTGATTTGTCTATCATTGTCCTCAAACAAGTATAATACCATATACAAATATAATTGTTAATAGTTATAAGTTAAACTATGTTAAATGTAAATTTACGTATTCTAATTACATAACGGAAATATGTATATTCATTTATTGATATTAATTATCTTTATCCGATAAAATATAAAAAATACGAAATTGTTTCACCGGTAAATTATCTATATTTTAACCAAAAATAAATAGTAATAATGTTGACGCTGCATTTATAATAAATCAATACCGCGATAAACCAATAAATATTAGAGTTATTCTCGATATTATATTTCATCGAATATTATAGAGAGATATAAAATATTGATACTATTATTATTAATAAGGATATATTTGTTGAGATTTTGTTTGGATATTCAAAAATCTGCTCTTTTACTTCGTGAAAGATTAACATAAAGATAATGTTATTTTATAGATTGCTTACGCATATAAATAATATACAGGTTTTTCTCATCATTGAATCAACCATGTTTTATTATTCAATTAATGTATGTAATAAAATTTTTTTTGGAAAATATTTTGTTATTTCCTAGATACTTATTATTTAAGTAAATTAAACTTTTCAAGAATAATTAAAAAATGAATGTTTCAATGTACATGAGAATTGTCTACACTCTTCATCTTATCTGCAATACTTTAACTTCATTAGATTCTATTTTTTTATCTTTGGCTTTCACTTTAATTTATATAAGCATGTATATATATAAACCTTTTATTACTGTTTTTTCGATTGTTTAAGTTGTAATTGTGTACTAGGCATCATAAATGTTTTTACATGAGACTATGTTTATTTACTTTATTAATCTTTATGAATGATTTTCCGCGTGTAATATATTCTTAAATAATTTTCCGTATTATTAATTTTTTTCATCTTAAATTTTTTAGATTTATAATTTTTATCATCATTTTGTAATGAAATTATCATTTTCATTGATAAAATAAACTTATTAATTATTTATTTACTTATATATCGATGACTTCAACAAGTAATAACATAACTATATGATTAAAAATGAAATAATAAATGTTTCAATACTGTATTTCAAATTCTACAAATTTATTCCTCCGTAATATCACGAAAAAAACAGGCATATTTTTTTGAAAACTATATTTTTTATTTATTTTAATTATTTTTTCGAAAAAGTACAATTTTGTTTATAATAATTACTTTTTACTATGTTCAATGTCACAATTTTTTAAAATCTTTATTTACAGAATCCTATATATTTTACGAATTATTTAAACGTTGATTTTAAAATCTTTGTACTCTTTATTGTAGGTCAAAAATTGATTGAAACAACCGTCTAGCCGTGAACTCAAAGCGGCTAGTTGACATACATTTAATGTAGTAGATATAGTAACGATCATAATTTATTTAGACAATTATATACAGAAGAAATTTTATTTACAGATTAATATTTTTTTTTTGTTTGACCGAATAGAATCATCAAAATTCAACTTAATTATAGGTATTTTAGAATAAATGTATCTCTTAAATATACAACAAAATTTAATAAAATATAAAATAATGTATATTTTTATCTCAATAAAATCGAAATTAAGATTTATGTTCTTTGGTTGTATTTCAAACTGCTTAAAATAAAATTACTTCACTTAGTAATTTAGTATTAAAATAATTTGTAAATAGTAAAATTATTTTTGTCTTATAACGCCTTTAAAATGCATTTATTAAAATCGATTAAAACTCTACGTCTATTAACAAAATTTATTGTAATATAGAGAATTAAACATTATTAAAAAAAATAATAATAACAATAAAAAAAAACAAATATGGCTAAGAAAGTACTGCAAAGGAAGAAGTTATCAATAACATTTGATAATTTATCATTATTTCATATTTCACAGTTGATTAATTAACAAACTTTAAATCTTTTTCATTCTACAACGATTGTTTTATTTTCTTAATTGATATTTAGATCTGCTTAGTGCGTTTCATGTTTAGTTTGAATGAAATGTATCTCTCAATTAAAATCTTCCATTTACATTGTATTTGAATTAAACCTTTTTCCACCTCTAAAGTATAATAAATGTTGACTATGACTGATATAATTTAATTCTACAAATTGTTTTTTTTTTTTTGGTTGTTAATTTTTAAATGTACATTTGATAGCTAAAGAATATAGTAGAGTATATACTCTTTGTATATTAAGGAAAAACTTCAAAAGTACTATTATCATCAATATATTACTATTATTTTTACACCATTAAATTTAAATTTAAAAATATCTTATATTTTTAAATCTTATATTTCCATTTATATTTATAAAATATAATATATGTATTTTTATTTAAAAACTTTATAAGTTGATCATTTTTTATATATTATCGAATTATATGCAAATTATATATTTCAATTTTTAATTGTATAGATTATTGAAGTAAAAAAATTTTTATTATATTTAATAGTTCCATATGACTTTGTGTATATCAATTTACTAATACATGTAATGCTTGCAAATACAAAGAAATTAAGGTATTTGAATTATTGTTTGTTATTTACAATCAAGTTTTAAGTACATATTTTAAACCATATAAAATGTATTTTTCTTAATTAAATATAATATGAGAAAAAATTGTCCTCTTTAAATAATTTCATAATAGAGAAATTGTTATCTTCCATTAATTTCTTTATGATACAGAAATTGTCTTCTCAATGTATAATTGTTTCAGCCGCAATTTATTCAATTCTCAGGGTCGCTTAAATTTGCTACTTATGTGATATAACAATTTTTTTCGATCAATTTTTTAACTGCGATAGATTATCTATTGTTACTGAATGAAAACAATTACCATTTATTCTACATTTAATTTTTATTATATTTGAGAATTTGAAAATTAAATAATATTACAAGTTTAGAATTTTGAAAATTATATAATATTACAAGTTTTTATTTACATGCATCTTTGAACAAAATTTTATTTTAAATTTATATTTCAAAAATTCATCATAATAAAAAATAAAAAAATGTAAACTCCTTAAAAAAATTTTGTAAAAATCTTTATCTATAGTCAAACTGTTAAACATACATTCGAAGGCAATGTAAAATATTTTTTATTGTGTGATTGATTAAAATATTAACAGTTAATATCAAAATTCCACATCCTATCATTGTATATTATTAAATGACAAGTAGTAATTTGTATAAAATGTAATTAAAATACATTTGATTAAGTAATTAATTATATATATATATATATATATATATATATATATATATATATATAATATAAATAATTGTAATGATAAAGCAGTTTAAGAAGTTATATATTTATAATGGTTTCCACAACATTTATATAGTGTACACTAACATTGTTGTAAATCATTGAAATTTTGATAATTAATATAACTACTTATTATTTATAATATCCATATCTCCGGTACAATAACATGCACTAAAAACTATAGGAAACTGTGTTGAATTACAAAACTTTATTGTTATTACTAAATTAATAAATTATTCAAAATTAATTATCAGTATACGTATAATATTATTCACTGACAGAAATCAAAAGAATTATATTAAAAAAAAGTATTGCTATAAATATTGATATAAATTGATAAAAAATAGTAACAAAGCCATTTTAAATATAAAACAATATTTCAGTTGTAAAGATATATTATTTTTTATGTTTATTTAATACAATAATTAACATGATGTATATGTAAATAATTTATTTCATTTCTTAGTAATGTACAAATATATATATTTTTTAAATATAATTATAAATCTATCAAGTGAATATAATTCTTTAGATATGTTCTATATTAAAAAATATGTATAAATAATGTATGCGCCTGCATTAGTGGTATATTGATTTATTACTCAAAATATTAGTAATTTTTTTTTTTAAGGCTGTTATTTTAAATGAATATGAGAAAAATTAAGGAAACATTCGTTATGATAAGAGTTATTATTAAAGTCTAGATATCTTATTAAATTTATTATCCATAAAATAAAAATTATTATACTCATAAATTTATTTCTTGCATTAATTTTTATTACTTGTCTGAATCTAAAGTTCATTGCGTTTTTTCAAATAGAAGAAAATATATTATATTTTGCTACAGGCACAATTTTGTACAGCCATGTATCTTGAAATACAGATCAATAATGAATTCTATGCGTAATAATGTATATAAATTATATAGGCATTCTATATGTTTAAATAACATTAAAATCTAATAATTTAATAATATAATATTGATATATACTCATACTTCGTTAATTGAAAGTATGCATTTATTAGTTGTTTTATTACTTCATTATTGCTTATATAAATCATAAAGTAGATTCACTGTACTATAATTAATAATACAATTTACTTCCCATTGAATATTACTATATACATTAATTTATTATAACGTAGACAATTATATATACAATTATAATACAATTCATATAAAACTAATGAATATTTTTCCTAATTCTTACGCAAAACTACTAATTTTTAATGTAAACATAAATTTGTAATCTTATTTAAGATATTTAAATAAGATTAATATATAGCAAGTTCCGTCTTTAAAAAAAGAGTTGATTACAAAATTTTTACTAGTATTGAGTAAAGCAATTATTTAAAGAGATTGAAACAGACTTAGTCAAATTATTGAGTACGAGTTTCTTTTATGAATTCTAAATTATGATTTATGAAAATTTAATAAGTGCCCCTCGTAGTTATGTAATTTTTCTAGGCACTTGTACTTGACCTATATGTTTTATAATACCTTGGGTACGTATTCTGCCTTTGAATCCTTGACAACTAAAAGTTAAGAAATAGCATCGAAATATAATTTTTATTTCGTTGATTAAATAACAAAATGTTATTTTAACGTTAAATGTCAAAATACCTGACAACGGTTATTATAAGCAAATTTATACTTTATACATTTCAAAAGTGAAAAACAAAATAATATAATCTTATAATAATATTACAACGTAGCAAAATAATATAGTGTACATTAATATATCATTGTAATATAACGTAATTTAATGGAATGGAAAAATAAGATTATTATTCATTATTTAAATTTTTTTAACGTATAAATACTTTCTATATAGTGGATTTTTATGATATTTTAGATGTTAAATAATTAAATGGTAAGATTAAAATTAAAAAAAAAAATTATTATGAAATATATCGCAATTTAAAGAATTTGTTATTTATATCATAACGATAAAACGGAAATTAATTTTAATATCTCCTTTTATTTTAAATATTTTCTAACTTTTTAAAATGTAATTAATAATATATGTACAAATATATTAATGCATAGGAAATTATGTGAGATTTTATAATTCAAGTACCTAAAAATATTAAGTCAGATTCAAAATAAATAATATTTATTCTAAATCTTTATTACGAAATTAATATAATATGAAACTTTTTAAATAAAATTTTTCTTTTAAGAATTTCGTAAACATCGTAAAATCACCAAAATTACAATTCCAGGCACGCGATTATTTGTATAGAAATGTGCAGCAATATTTCAAAAATGAAGTGTAATAATATTGATTTCAAATTTGTGGAAAATTTTATAAGAATTTTATGTGAAAAAAAAATTGATTTTAAAATTTATATTTTTTTCTCATGTCCGCATTTTCAGAGCATTATGTTCACTTCAGCAGTACGAGCGGCGCCGGCAGCAACAACATTGTCGTCCAGCCACTGCGACATGGGCACTTGAATGTTAATCTAGGCTTTCTGCAGATACATCATAGGTCAGTGAAGCTTCATCCTAGATAATATCACGTTTAGCTCAGGGACTTCAATCAGAATGTCGTTATTATGCGATTACGCATTGGTGGGATAAGACAAGCGCTATTATATTGGTCGAATTATAATTCTTAAATTTTAAATGAACATCATATGATCACATTTGATAAAATCTTTTTTCGAGACATTATTATTATGTAAAAATGTAATCCATATCAAACTATACGAATTACAATTGTAAATTAATTATAATGGATTAATACAATCGATTGGATGATATAATTTTCAATTAATCAAATAAATATAAAGTAAATAAATAAATATCAATTGATTGAAACCTTATTTAAAATTCTAATTAAGCTACATTATACGTTCGTAAATTAATTTTAAAATTAATTCTAATTAAACGAAATAATTTCGTATTAATTATATTAATAAAAATATCGTTGATTTTTAATTAAATTTAAAATAAAATAATGAATTGAATAGAGTCTTGTCTTTAAAAAATTCAGGTACCACGTAGAATTCACAGTACCATGGAATACTTGCGTTATTCATCCAGATGGAAATCCTACGGTGCCTGCTATACCTACGGGTAAGCCGAATTTAAATTGTCGAGTCATCGAGTTCGTTCAAGACCGAGATGATCTTAGGTACGTAAAAGTAAAAAAAATAGCTACAAATTATACGTGCAATAAATAATTAATCAGTCTATTGCAAGTATATTTTATTGCTCATTTTATTAGATTATTAATAGTATTTCCAATAATGCATTATTTGCACTAAAGTGAATCTAAAAGTAAAATAACTGAGATATTTTAATAACGATTAGCATTTAGTATTCAAATCCATCAGAAAATTTTAAGAAAAACATCAAACTACACTCACTAGCTTCCAATTTGCTAATTCTTAGTTTATTAAATACAATTTTGGTAAAATTATTAAAATAATATTTTCGCATAAAAATTTGTAAAACTCATGCTACCAAATGTCTATAATCGTTTTATATTATACTTAGGATAAAAGTCGAGCTGTTTGCTCATGTGGAGCGATTTTTGAATGAAGAGTTTCAAATAACATGTTGTGAAAAAGGAGCTCCATTAACAATCTACTTGAAAGCTCGAATATTTGGTAAGGAGCAAGGTACGCCTATATTGCGCAATGGTATTCGTAGAATTGCCATAGAGCAGGACGTAGAGGAAGATGAGAACGAAGATGCCTCTGACTGACCTCATTTTATTGAGACGCCTATATAAAGTGGATAATAATTATAAAAATTTTGGTTTATAAATATAATTTATAATGTTATAGAGAATCTTGACATAGCAGAAAGGTGTTCTTTTTATCTAAGAGACATCACGAAAATTGTGACCAAAATTGATAATTCAAAGTTAAAAATACTGATTGCTACCGATGTTCAATTAAGTCACCAAAACAATTCTTACATATTTAATAAATTATAAAAATTAGACAATTGTAAAATAATATATTATAAGATATTTTATAACTAAAACAATTTGGTCGATATTTTAATGATAATAATGATTATTTAAGGAAATATAAGGTAACGGACATATAAGAAAATAATATGAATTTGATTATATTATGAGAAAATATACCACCTATGGTAGTATTATAAAATCATTATAATTTACTCTTTATATTTTTGTGTTTATATGTATTAATTATAAAAACTTTCTATATCCTAGCATAAAATAATGAGTTTTTAAAATATTTGCATACTGATAATTGTTTAATAATAATATTTCTTTCCTCGTGATAATTGAAATATGTAATATTATTCGTTTTATTTTATAGATCTTTGAAAAAATACAGTATTAATATTCATAAATTTAATTATATTCATAAAATTGTTGTCGAGTTGTCAGTTCATCTCTATATATTTCGGAATTTAACAGAAATGAACATATCCCCTTTTTATAATTAGTTCTTATATTCTATTTCTATTATTAATATTTGATTAATACATATTACTTTTAAAAATAACTAAAAAAAAAAAAAAAAAAAGATTCCCTTAATTTAGAATTTAATTCTAATCATGAAATATAATTTATAATGTAATTTCAAATGAAAATTCAAATATAATTTTTGTTCTTTTTTTATAAACTATATATTATTTTCAATAAATATTCAATATTATCCAATTAAAATTAAATAAAATTCAATATACATTATTTTCAATAAAATTGCAAATCCATAAATGGCAAATTAACTTTGCTACAATTCATATTTTCTTGATTTACATAATTTTCTTTTAACTGTTCTAGCTTCATACTCGAAATTTCGTCTATATTGTTATAAAAAATTTTAGAATTAAGTTAACGATTTCGTACGCGTTTGAAGTCTGAAGTTTTCCACATTTTCTGCTGTTAATATAATAAACAATTTAATTTAATAACTAAATAATCTTCTATATAAGTTTTCGATTAGAACTGTAGAACTTATTCCATAAATGTTTTGGAAGGCAGTATAAAATAAAATTAAAATTATAAATTCAGTTTACACTCTCTTCTAGATATTTAAATCGAGGTACAATCTTAAAAATAGTCTATACGAAGTTACATTAATAATCTATAATTATTATTGAAACATTATTAAAATGTGGACGACAATTTTTTTTAGTAAAATATTTGGAAAAAGACGATGACCTAAGGCTTTAAAAGTATTTCCTTAAACATAAATATATAATAAGAAGTAACATTACCATTGCAGTTAATTACAAAACTGATATTACAGCGATATTTTATTTTTATCAACTATTATATTATAATTATATAATAGTAAGTTCATTATATCTATAAAAGAAATGAAAACATTGTATTGAAGTTATTAAAAAAAAAAAAATATTCTCAAACCAATACCCAACAATACCCAAGGATCAATTAGATTAAACAGTTTAAAACGAGATATATATATTTAATATTAATTAATATGTTATATTATTAAACTAATTTGTAAAATAGAAAAATTAAGTATTAATACATTTAGTTCCTTCTAACATATAAATATAATCAGCCATTTAAAAATATTCATTTACGCATTTTAGAATATTTCTAATTCTGGTTTTACTTGAGCAATACAAACTTGCATGTAAATAATTTATTTACAAGGTAATAATAAATCATTTTACAGTCAGTATAATATTGCAAAATTAAATTCATAAATTTCATACATATTTTATTTATGAATTGCTATTGTATGTTAATTTAAAAGAATTTCAAATTGATATAATATTCAATGCTTTTCATATTACTTTATAATTATTTCTGTACAAAATATGTAAATTATTAAGAAAAAGTATATGTGCATCTTTTCTATAGTTAGGTAGAAAATATTTTCCCATGTTTTAACATTAATATACTACTTATTAATAATTGTAATATTAAATATTCATATAAGTGCAAATTAAGAAAGTTCTAAAGCATCATTATATCACAATGTTAAATATAGTAATTAAAATGAAGTAGTTACGTAGTAACATTATATTTTGATAGAAAATATAGAAATTGTTTGTTCGATAACTGACTCATTCATCATTTATTATAACACTATTGTTTATATTTACTTCAAAATAATTAGTTTTAATTTACATGTAATTACAAATTTAATGCATTTTATTATTTAATGCAATTTAAATATTTGATAATTTAAATAATTTATATATTCAAAGATATGCACTTTTTAAGCAATATTCGAGTGATATTTAAAATCGTGTGTCCGTAAAAAAATTGACTTTTACCAATTTGTAAAAAATAAGATTATTAAAACATATAGGATCTTAGTAAGAATTTAGAATTGATAATATGTAATGAAAACTATTACGCAAAAAAATTTTTCGAATTAAAAATTCAACGAATAAATAATGTATATAAAAGTTTAGATAAAACATAATTAATTAATAATAAATAATAAAGATATTCTTCACAAAATTTATAAAATTTTGTTTGACATGTTTAATCTGTCGCTTAATGCGAATATAAATTTTTAATAATGTAAACAGATATTAAGTTTTGAAATAAAAATGTACTTCTTTTATCAAAAAACTAAATTATTCGCAAATATTGTAGTTTTTATAAGATAATTAATAAAATTAAAAAATATATATAGTTGTTATTGAATAGTTAAAAAAATATTAAAAATCATAAAGGAATAAAGCCCAAAAATGTGATGAAATCTTTTTCTGAAAAGTAATATTAAGTTAAGGTATGAATAAAAATGCAATTTTTCGAATTTTTAATCTTTTAATTTGGAAAATATATAAACATTTTTCGTAAAATACTGGACTAATATTTTAAAGACACAATGTTACACTTATGCAAATGAAAACATAATATGTCAATATTACCTGAACTTAATTGAGAAAATATGTAATTTTCAATATAATAACAAAATTGTATATTACAAAGATTTTTATTAAAACTATGGATAATTACTTTATTATACATAATTCTTATTCATTTATTAATGCATAAATAATTATTAATTTACTTTCATTAAAAATTTTCAATTATTGTAGATTATAAATTATTAATTAAAAAAAAAATTGTAGTTATAGTTGAAAATTTTTAATATCTGTAATATAATATTCCTGCTATGAAATTATAAACAATTTTACTCTTAACTGTTTTATTTGCGATTATAAAAATATTTAATAATAATTTCATAAAGTATTTTTATTATGAGGATTTTTATCGAACGCAGACACATACATTATGCACATTGTTTATTTAACGTAAACCATTGGTCAAAAGGTCTAAATTTCTTTACCCTCGCTAATGTGATAAATAATAAATAGGTAATTATTGATTAAAAATTATATTGGGTAATTATTTTCTATACCTTTCTTGCATATTTATATTTTTTATGTAACTGAACAATCTCATTTATAATATTTTGTTCACCTTTCACTTCGCTCTTCTTAAAAAGAACCTATATATTTGATTCTACTTCAGTAATGGTATAATATATACACTATAAAGAACTTGTTTTATATATAATTATTAATTATTTAATTCGTTACAAATTGTAATGTGAAATTGTATACAGATTGTCTGAAATATCTACATAAAACCTGCTTTCTAAATAAATTATAAACACCTGATTGAGTTGAATTCCTTTCTACCTATAAATCGAGTTTGAATCGATTACTCAATTATTTTGACGCCCAAAGCAATATCCATGGAAAATAGCGGTATTTTATAAGTTAAAAGAAATAAATAGATGCAAAATTTCAAACACCGTTTTATCGCATGCGCCGTTGTGTTTTATGCTGATTGGTTCTCAGAATTGCGGGTAATGCGATTAATAAAACAATACACACACGCACGCACGCACGCACGCACGCACACATACACACATACATACACATACATACACACATATATATATACAGATACCATGTATATCACAATATTACATAAATAATAAAAACGTGAACGTCGAACGCGAACGTACACTAATCTTGAAAGAAATTTCATTTAATTATGTATAGAACAAAATTTTTAATTTATATACAGACATATGTGCATATTACATAAATGAAAATTTAAATTATTTTATATAACAATTAAATAAAATATTAACTTGATTATAAATAATGAATTAAAATATATTTTTGCATGTCCGCATGTGTGAGTGTATTGAATGAAAGCAAATTGAAATGATACTAATTATATAAAATAGTATGCTTGAATTTATATTTTAAATATGGCAAATGATTATTAATTTATGTTGATTCGAGATGAATTAAAAATGGAATTTGTTTCGGACAATTTAGTTCAAATTGCTTAAAACTATATAAATAATCTATCGTTAAAAAAAAAAATTCTTAACTTCAGTTACATGTCTGTTTAGTTATTAATAAAATATTTAAATAAATTCTTATTACACATATTTAAATAATAGCATTTGATAAAATGCAGCATTCGAGAGAATTAAAATTAAAGATTACATAAAAATAAAAATCATTCCATTGATATTAACATCACATCTGAAGCAGCTTGCATAACTCCTTTTATTTAATATAATATAAGTTTCTTTAAAACAAATAAGCATTGAAGGATGTTGTACATAAGCGACAAAATCATGGTCGAAATCTTATTGCTATTTTGCAGTAAAAAGTCGAACCTAAAACTACATCACGAACTCATACCGCTGACATCAATAATTTACAAATAAACATAATTTACAATAAAATCTTTCATCTTTCTTCCATTGTGAACTTGATCATCTACATATATATTTATATAAATATTTTATTTATATGATTAAATATGTGTAAAATAATGTTAACTTCTTATCGAATTACAAAAACAACAACATCTACAAATAGTGAATTTTAGGAGCCTGATGCAATATTAAAATTTTACATATATATAGAGATTATAATGTTATTTAATAAATATTTCTATTTTCTTGTTAATTAATGCACTTAATCGTAAAAAAAATTTCAATGTATCAATTCATAAAAAACTTGAACACGTAAAATAAAATAGAAACGGTTTATTAAAATAGTATTATTATATAAAACGTTGTCTTAGTGGCAGGTAAATGCGATGTGAATTGTAAAATCTATAAAAAATAAATATTACCTTATAACTATATTCTTATAACTTTACATATATTAAATATAACTTTACAGAATATTTATAATAATGTAGTTCCGAAGTTTTATTGAAGTTATCACTATATATTTTTCTCTGTTTGTATTTTATGCACATATAAATAATAAAAAATAATAACATTTGTGAAAGTAAATTAAGATCAATATGTTCAACTGAAAAACTTCATACCTTCTTTAATATCGCTTTAATAGTCAATATATTAAATAAATATTTTTAAATCTTATCACACAGTTATCACTTTACATTACATACGTTACCTCTTTTTCAAACTTTTTATTGATTTATAAATATTAAATTTTTATATGAAAACTTTTCTTATGTAAAAAATTATGTAAAAAACTATTCTCCGTATAAAATTAAATAGAATAATTTATGTAACTGTATATTAACAAATAAAAAAAAAATTTTTTTAAATTGTTCCTACGTGCCTTTTATATAGTTCTTATGTATATAATTACTTATTTATATAAAATAAATATTAACATTAACAATATATATTACATTATTAATATTACACGCATTATATAAAAAATAAATATTGCATTGAAAATGAATATAAAACTGTAAATCTTTACTTAAAATACTGTTAATAATTTCCATGCACATTTGCTCTATAATATGATACAAATAGTTTGTACTACGTAGTTATAGATTTTTATTTGGATGCATAATAAATAACATGAATAATATATATAATATTGTTAAAAAATATATATGTATTTCTATTTTTTAAAACGTTGCTCTAATTCTAAAAAAAATAAATAAATAAATTTTATAACGCCCATATAACTATTATTTCGACTTTTCATACCTGTCAGAATTTTCAATAGATGAATTTTACTTCCGACTGTTAATTCGCTTTCATGTTTTTCATATATATATGTATATATATATATATATATATATATATATATATATATACTAGTATTATTTGACAAGTGTCGAATAAGAATAAAAGAGCTTATGAATTTTATGTCATAGTCTGTTAACACCTAAAATTCATTTTCTTCATGGGAATGCCTGTAGGTCCATCTACGAATTCACAGATATCAAAGCCTAATTTAGTCAGGGGATGACAGTTGCTCTTGGGATTACCCCATTTGCCCGTAAAATTCATCCATTCGGGCATTACGTGCTTATCATGAATCGAGAGTAGTTCCACTTTCCTCCAAGTAGGCCAGGGCGTCCCGAAACCACTCTCATCGTAAAGCCTCGGAAGACGCACAAACTTGTGTTTACCTGGTGCCGTCCACAGTCCGTGTGAACCTCGGGCGCTGAAAAGAATTGGATGCGAGCCTTCGGCTGTAAAGACTCGCTCTGGAAAAATAGGTTTCTGAAAGATACCCTTACGGGTCTCTTGTGACTCAAAAATGAAGGTACCGGAGCGAGGCTCGTAGCGGTAGAATGCGCCTGCATCATGTGCCGAAACATACATTGCCAACGGGTAATTCTTATCCTACAAAATTGGTGTAATTCCTCAAATACAATTTTTTTTCTTTCTATCACTTTGTTTATTTATTGGGACGAGACTATTTTACGGATTTAATTGATTTTCATTTATGCACTTAAGCTGCCGTATAAGCGTGACTTTATACCAATAATAATATTAGTTATAATATTACTAATAATAACATTAGTATGTTTTATTATTATTTGAATAAAATTTGTACGTCTAAAGGTAATGGTTGATTTTTCAATTAAGTATATAATGTATTTTTTAAACAAAAATACGAGAAATAAAAAATAGAGTTATCAGTAGTAATAGTTTTTTTTGTCAGACAGTTGAAATATCATTACTGAGGCATCCTTGAAAATATTAAAATTAAGTTTTATTGCAATGATTTTTTTATAAACTATTAACTTATAAAAACGAAAAATTTATATTATTTTTGAGACTTATAAATCATTATTTGCGCTATTTTAAAGCTACCGAATATAAAGCTTATGCTGGGATTTTAAACGAACAAAAATGCTCTTAAAAGAACTGGCTTAATCATTATTGCTCATTAATAAATAATCTATGTTTCAAAAGAATAATGGGAAATTAATTGTTGTAACACATTTATGTATTTGTAATTTTATATGTAAAAATTAAATGTCAAGTATCAAAATGTTTTCATTTCTAAGATATAAGATAAATCAAAGAGAAAGGAACTTTATAATGGGATCCAAGATTTGATATATTCTCAATAAATTCTATACTAGACCGACATTCTACTTATAAAATTTCAATATGAAGGAGTATAATTGAAAATATTCATTGAATACTTCAGGCAAAGAGTATATTCATTTTTTAGATTCATTTTCCTAAGATATCTTAAAAATACGTCATCGAACAATATATAAGAAATAACCCATTTAATAAATTTCACTGTTAAATGTATAAATAAAAGAAAATTTAATTTTAACTAACTTTTACGTACGTTAATAAATAATAGATACGTCATTGCTGAAATAGCCTATATTATTTATATTATTTTTATATATTATATAAATTGTTATTAAGAATATATTAATATAATGACACTGTGCATCGAGTCTCTGATATTCAGAATGCGCATCAAATTTAAAACCATTCAATTTCTCACTCATGAACTCACCTTAAAATACAGACTAACGTGCTCCCAATCACCAACGTGATTCCCGTATTCCTTTAATCTACCGAAGCACGTGCCACCCAAACTGGGTATCGGCCAGCTGCCGAGAATACCAAGATCAAGTACACACACAGCCTTGCCCTCGCTAAATGGATAAAACATCCAGTAAGTCACGTGGAAGTGCAGTGGATGCTGCGTGTGGAATTTTATCTTCTGGAGAATCTTCTCGTGTAGAATATGTGATTTCGAAATTTCAGAATTGACGGGAATAACGTGTGACCCATGGCTTCGCGACAATCTTCGGTCCTTAAATGACGATACCAGTAATTTTTCTATTGATACGCCTGAGCCTACAGCAGATCCGAATTTTTCGTTTTTTTCGAGGCAATATTTACCTGAAGTTTATTTACATTACATAAAAGTAATCTTAAAAATATCCTTTTGACATTTCATTCTTTCTTAATTCCGTTCAATTCGGTTAACATTAAATTTCTGCTTTTACGATAATTTAATGCAAAATTTGTCTAAATAAATAGGTATATGTTATGTGAAATGGTACAGAAATTTTTATTAAATTTATATTTATAATAAATGATTTTTTTATTTAAAATTTTTAGAATTTTATTGCATATTAAAAATTCTGCTTTTTTCACTAAGTCACTTAAAATGTATAACTAAATATTCATATAAAAAGTAATTTCGCAGTTTATTTAGTTTAATTTCATTTGACATATTTATATTTTAAATTAACATTTTACCTAAAGTATGTAAAAAAAATAATAATAAATTTTTAAAAATCCACGTATATTGTAGTCGTAGTATGAAGTAAATGTATTAAATATGTGAGTCTAATATTTTCTAACAATTCTTTATGAAGCTTAATAATTAAAAAATTTCACTAAATTTATATAAACATATGTTACTATTTATTTAATATTAATCGTATAGAGAAAAGATATTAAAATTAATAAAAATGATTTTTACTATGTTAAATATTATACAATGTTCGATTGAATTATATTAATAACACACACCACTCACACACGTATTAAATATACCAAAAAATTTACCAGCAATAACAAAGTAGGTAAAGTGTTTTTATTTTTTTTTAATTTTATTGGAAATATGAATTGAAGTCATTTAATTGTCTTCATTGTATCAATTTAACAATAATAACAATATTGATATATAGTTATTGACAATATTAAGAATAGTTATTTGTTTATTTTTTTTTATTTATTTAAAATTGATAGGATTAATTAGTTTAAATAAAGCCCCGTGACTTGAATATATCATATTGTATTGTTCATTCATTATTAAAAGTTAACTAATTTTCAAGAGTCAAAAATTCCTTACCTGGCACATTATTACTCTCGATGGACTTTATGTCGAAATCGTCGACCATTGCATTTAGAATCGGTAGTTGATGCTTCTTCAGATTATTGGAAGGCGATATAGTTGTTTTCGTCATCGTCGCTCCTGCTGACGGTATCAACGACTCCGAGTTCATAATGCAGTTCTTCAACAAGGCATAAATTGGAATGTTGTCGGCAGGCTTGCGGCCATGTAGAAAGGACGACCGGTTCTGTAGCAGCGATTCTGTAAATCCATCGATTTTTGCATGTGTGATCTTTTAATTGATATTATTGCAAAAATTGAATAATTTGAAGAATAAGGAACGTCTAGAAGCTTAGCATACATCAACTGTATGAAATGCATGCTTAATTAAATAAATAAACATTAGGTTCAAATTTATATGATATCACTAGTGAAATTAAATCGCATTGATTGAATTACATTAGGTTTAGTAAGTATTATAATTACTGGCTTTATTGTATTTTTAAAAGTCTTTGAAACAGTACGTATATTGGCATTGATATGTTTAAAAAATTATCTGTAGCATATTTTGGTGAATATAAGTGAATATAAAAAATAGTGATATATATTTGATAAATTTACAATAAAAATAACATGTACAATGTAACAATCGGTATTAAATTTTTTTTTTAAGATTAATTTATTAATATTAACATTATATAACATTTATATAATATTTTATAGTTTGAAACCAATAATTAAAAAGCGGATAGACATTTATAACGTAAAGTTATACTGAATTACTTTAAAGATGCGATAATTACAAAAATATATTTAACCAAGTAAGTAATTGTTTAACATATTTTAAAAACAAAACCAAATTATAGGATAGCCGAATTGTCTTTTGCACGAATACTATTGAAAAATTCTGATAAAGATTATTGAAATATAATTAAATCATAAGCAAATTTATGAATGCATTAGGTGAGAACACATATGGAAAATAGAAATTCCGTGACATCCTTTCAATTCATGTACCGAAAAACCACTTTCTACGGAATGATGAGTATAATAAAATTAAATAAAAAAATTTAATTAAACTTTTTCATTGTATTTAAATAAAAAACTTATCACCTGCATATTTTTTTTTCATATTTATAACGGCTGAAATATCTATAATTAAAGCCGTATTTTATTTTCATGTTTTAATTATTTATATAATTACCGATTAAAGTATCTGGATATATATATATATACACACATTTATATGAGATAATAATGAAATTATTATAAATTAAATTTATCTTAATAATCTCCTTTATTTAATATTTTTGTTTTAATTAAAGGCACATGAATGACAATTGAAGCAAGTACTATTTTATATAAATTAACCGACGATAAATATTTTATAAAAGGTCTTGTAGATTATTATTGTACTCGATGTGCACGAATTAGAGCCTCAAATCAACAAAGTTCACTATTACAATTATCTCATATAAATAGCCTAATCATACGATGCAGCTATAAGTAGAATAGATAAAAAAATTTGTACATGAGATGCAAATGATAGACTATTACTATTCTTATACATTACCCTCGCTACCAAAATTCATCGGATAAGTACTAAATTTCATTGTGAAAATAACAAAAGTTTCGTATTATTAATAAAATGTACTTACTGTTTTAAAAAAAAAATTAAATAAAATTTCAGAAAATAATATAAGAAAAGCCATTTTCGTATTATAACTATTTGTCGAATGTTAAACAAAGTATTCAAAAGATTTCCCATTCTCTCGGCTATCCGCATCATTAAGCTTCGCATTCGTTGAAAAATTCTCTTCCAATATCACCAACCGATCACGTATCCCTTGCCTACATCTCGTTGCTCCCACGTTCCGCATCCTCACTTCGCGAAATCAAAAAGGGTCAACACAATGCGACGAATGTGGCATGATACACGTATACGTTCGCACACGAAGCGCAAGCACGAGACTCTCTCGCAAATTCTCGCGTGACACCGTAGGCGACGTGTTCTTTCCGAGATCAAAGTAGCACACACGCGAGCCTCCTTCTCCGTACACGTGTTTCCTCCCATTCGATCAAATGAGGAGTTCGCATTGATTTGCAATGGCAATCGAGTCTAATGATGAAAGTGGCTCGTTATGGTGGTACCGCCCCATTGTCATCGATGCACTCAAAATTGAAATGTTGACATAATTAATGTTGACCCTCGTTGGCTTATGGCTTTCCGCGTCTGTGCTCGCTAGAGCTTTTCCACGAGTATTTGCCGACTGATAGATGAGCTCGATCGTGAAATTTGAAGTGAAAGCTATATTCCGAGTAATCGCTGCCATTTTCGAATGAAGAGGCGCTTCGCTGCATCACTGAATACCTTCATTATGATAAAGTATAAACAATAAGAAATTAATTAGCAAATCTTTATAGAATATGTAGTGAGAAAATTTTCCAAAGTATTGGATTTCTGCCCAATGTTATAAATTCTTAACTATTACTGGTGACTAGTTAATATTGATATAGTTTTTCTTAAAGCCATGCACGGGCTATCGTAATGTAAGAAGGCCATTTTCCATTTTATTCGAATATATATCAATTATCTTTCGTGCAATTATTTTACTTTATTTAATCGCGTTATTTTATAATTTAATATTAATGAATGTAATGCATTTCTGGGTAGTAATGAATTAACTAAATAGAATTACCTTGATAATAGTAATAATAATGATAATAATAATAATGATAATGATCATGACAATAATAATAATAATAATAATGATAATAATAATAATGATAATGATCATGACAATAATAATAATAATAATAATGATAATAATAATAATGATAATGATCATGATAAGTCATCTAAGTTATTTGCCAAAAAAAAAAAAAAAAAAAAAAAATGAAAAAACTAAATCTCCCACTATTTTAATAATCATTGGCATATACAATTTTAACATATATTAAAAGCGAATATTGTAATCCCCCCCCCCTCCAAATATTTGGAAAGTTTGTAAACAATATTTTAATTCTTGAGAACTAACGTAAACTGGTGCGTGTTTGGAGATAATTATCAGCTGCTTGCATGTTGTCCAAAAATTCCGGTACTCCAAGAGGAAGGAAGCGTTCACCAGGTGCAAGCCAGACAAGTGGAGCCCAATCACGTATAAGTCCGCGTACTACAAAAATGTGAGATTTATGGATTTTAAAATTTGATTTTTTAATGATTTTTCTATTTTTATAAAAAATGCATTATCATTTATGTAAATATAATATATTCTAGAACAACTTTATTTTATAATATTCAAAATTTATTTTCTTGTCAATAATTACTTTATACAAAATTTGTTTCCTTTTTTTAATTATAATTACATCATAATGTTGATATTGAACTGTATTTCATAATTAATAAAAAATATACGAAATTTGTGAAATGTGAAAAATATATATTCGGCTGTTTATTTACATTTTCATTATAAATTGCGTTCATGAGAATTTATTCAAAGTATGAAAAATAATTTTAAAAACTATTCCTACATTAATGTGAAAAATATCTATACTTTTATAATAATTAAATATTCGAATAATTATTAATGATTATTTTAATAGAAATATATATTATTTTACAATATTTTTTTCTTATAATTAAGTAAGTTATGACATGAAAAAATAAATCTTAGTATAATATTAGTTTAATTAACTATCAATATGAAAGGAAAAAAAGTAAAGAATTTAAAATATTTGTACACAATCTAATAAAAATAAATAAAAGCTATAAGATAGTTATAATTAATTATCCTACCTTAATTTATAATTATCTATTCCCCGAACATATATATAAAAAAGTTTACAATACATAATTAAATCCAATTACATATTATCACGTGAATGTCTAGATTTGATTAAAATATCGACCGCTTTATAGAGTTACGTACTTTATATATTTTTTTTAAACTTTATTTTATTTTACTTTAAAAAGTATGAATATTTTTATAAATTATATAAAAGTAAAAAAGATTCATTTAAGGAGATCTGAAGAACAATATTTAGCTTGTAAGGTTTTTTTTCCAGAGTATGAATTTTACGTTTTCGTACGTAATTTTCCGTTAATCTCATTAATTACTCTTACTCTTGAATAAGTAATATTCATTAGTTAATATAGTAGTAAATATAGTAATAAGTTACATTAAATTTTATTATGTGGTGATTAGTTGTGTATTGATTAGTATGTGTATTGATAAAATATTTCGTATTAAAAAAAAAAAAAAAAAAAAAAAAAAAAAAAAAAAAAAAATGAATGAAAAATTGGATCAGGGTGAGCCGCAAAAGCTTGACTGACTAAGAAATGCCGAAAAATTCAGACTAATTAATACCAATAATTAGCATCCAATTTGCGAATTGAAAATATTATGATAGTATGAAGATCTTTGTATGAATATTTGAAAGTTGCTAATTTATTCTTAATGTGGACTATTTTACCAAAAAAAGAGGACGCGCGCGTTATTGTATTATTGTAGAACAATGTCACTATCTGCCAGGAAGGTGCGACTTCTATTGAACAAAAGTTATCTAATATTTCTACCCAACTCTTTGAAGGTATTAGGCTCCGTTATACTTCTTTTTTATCGATACTCATCGGCCAATCAAACGCCTACGAATATAAAACAAAGTTTGTAAAACTTATTGCATAAGAGACTGGTATACTTAAAAGCAAGGATTTCGACACTAAATATAAAGTGAACGTGTGAGTTCACTTGGAGGTCATAGTGATGAAAGAGCAAATTTTGAGAATGTCGTAATAATTAACGCTGATGTAACTTTAAAAAAATCTAAAAACCTTAGAAAACTTCTTCTAAATCAAGTCATTTGCTTGCATTGAAAACTTTAGGAAGCACATCAAATTCCTTAATTGTAATTATGTTACATTATTTTATATAAATTTATGACTTTGAGGATAGAATTTATCGATTTACTTAAATATTTTAGGAAAATATAAAATTTTATAAATACTTTTTCATAGAATTATCTATGAAAAATAATATAATAATTTATAATAATATAATAATAATAATAATAATAATAATTTCTATATTAAATTACTTGAGTTTCTTTTCATACAATTTTTAACATATAATTTGATATCGTGGCTAATAATAATAATAATAATAATAATAATAATAAGTTTATTACAATTTAATAAATGATATATTAAATAGTTGTAATTGATATATTTAAAATCCGTTACACGCTCATGGCATGTGCTATTAAAAGCAACTATAAAATTTATAATAGAAATATTAAAATTTATGATTCATAAATTGTTTTAATGATAAAAATAAAATATTTATAGAGTTCATAAATATCAAGTTATTGAACTTGATTATAGATTCATGTTGTAGAACTTATTGTTATCAATTTTTAAAAAAATTAAATTAAATTATATTAAATTACATTAAATTAAATTAAAAATTAAAAATTAAAAATTAAAAATTAAAAATTAAAAAGAAAAACCTATTGTTTAAAATACTATCTATTATTGATGTAGATGACTATTAAATCCATAATTAAGGCATATAAATGAAAGTGTTTATTTTGAACAACTTAAATAGAATAATAATTAATCGACTAGAAATTAAAAGTTATCTGAAAATTTTAAATAATTGACATTGAATACGTACTTTTTATTTCAATCTTTACACTAATGTGGAAACGTCTCAATAAGTAGCCTAATATAGGATACCATAGATCATATTTTAGATATATTCTCCAGGATAACCAACCAACTCGAATGTAAAGTAAAACAATATTTTCTTTTTCATGATATTAACAAGTGATAATGAAATAATAACATTAATGTAAAAGGCCGACTAACCTCGAATATCTTCGACGAGAGTCGAACTGATTTGTTGAGCAAGAATGACAACAAAGACAAACATCAGCCAACGCATGGTCGTACAGCCTCTTTTTCAGCATCTTGAATTTGTTTGCTCCACAATTGGTAGCAGTTAAATTTACCCTTTGCTTTCCATTTTTATCATATCTATGGCCAGAAAATTGAAAATTTCTTTGAACGTTCATTTTATAAGCAAAATTAAGAATTGTAAAAATTATTTTAAAATAATTCAAAAACGATTATATAACGATAGAAACGTAAATCACGTTAAGACTAATTTTAAAAAAATACGACATATTTTATAATATTAATAAATTATGTACGATTTTAAATGGTTATTAATATTGAAGAACAGTTATAAAAATATTTTTATTATAATTGGTTTTAGAAATTCATAAATACTTTTAGCATTATGTAATCTCTTGATTATAATATCTTTAGAAATTTTATTAGAAATTTAATTCATTTTTGTTTAAATGACCAAGTTTCCTGATTTAATGTTTGAACCAAATTTTTTACTAAATCTGTAAAAATCTAGATAATATTAACTTTTATATTTATATTATATAATTGTGTATTAATTTTTACTATTAGAAAATACATAAAATAAAATAGCAGATTGTATAAAGTTGGTAAGAGGTAAAAGGTTAATTTTAAATATATGTTTAAAATATTAGTTCAATGATATTTATTTTAAATGAAAATGTCGATACCATCGTTACTGGTGTTAAACACAGATATTTGAATTTCATCAGATTAAATATAATATTAAAATAGAACCACTTCTACAAATTAATTTAACTTCATAAAGTTATGTTTTTCACTAAATAGTTTTTATACTTTGATCATTTCTTAAAACGAATTTTCCACAATATTTGGAATTTTATTTAAATTTCTACTAAATTAATGAGGCATATAAATTTTAAATAACTTTAATCGATAACTATCCGAGTATAAAATTGAAAGAAAACTTATAGCAATTTAAAAAAAAAGAATAATATAAAGATTTCAGTAACCTATATTTACGTTATAATAGTCAAATGTATGTTTACGCGATTACAATTTTTTTTATAGAAAATATTACATAAGTAACTTATTATCATTATTTTCTAAATAATTAATTAATACATTAAACTAACGAAAAAATCTTTATATCAAATATTTCTATTAGTACAAGTTTACATATTATTGTTAATTAAATTAGAAAAAAATGTATAATTTTTCATTGAAGGTGAGATGTACGGTGAGGAATATATCTTCCTTGAAGCTATTTTTTTCATAATTCAAATAAATAGTGATTACGAGTTATCAATTAATATATTTAATTACAAAAGTATAATTAAAGTACTAAAACATTTTTAAAAGACATATCTTCACAATGATTTATCACTGAGCACACGATATACGTATAAGCATAATAGAGCAGTGAAACTTTTTTAATTCCTTTGCAACGCATTTTTTTTATTATATACCTCGGAATAATGCGGCAATAGCAAAAATCCTTGCTCCAAATCTATAGAGCTAGATACAAGGATGCCGACGCTATTAACAACAATACGGCGCGTAAATAAACAAGAATAAGGTGCGTCGTGCGTCGTGCGTCGTGCGTCGTGCGTCGTGCGTCGTGCGTCGTGCGTCGTTTGTACGTCCCCGGCGAATACTCCGAGACGAACTGCCGGGCATCAGGAAAGGCCCCTCGCGGTCACTTGGGCCCTGTTTTCCTACCACCGCCGGTGAATGATCTCCCGCTTCCGCGCTTTTGCGCTCACTGGTTGCGTTACATCCTGTATACGCTTATGCTGCCTGTATATCGCCTTTACGCAGTTTGTGTAACTGTGCGTGTGCGAATGGCCCGTAAGGTTCCATACATGCGCGAGAGGCAGGAATGTTATCTCAAAGGCCAATACAACTTTTTATAGGGAAACATATCCACGCATACATAATTCTTGGCTACTAATAGCTATTCGGTTCACTTTTGTCCATTATGAATTTATCTATGATGTTGGACATATAAATGGGATAAGACGTTACTTTCTCTCTTAATAATCAATTTATGTTATTGATTATAATGTGAGATAGCGTAACCATTAGCTTTATACTGATTGAGTTTATACTAATTGAGACTTTAAAATTGTATTGATGTACCTCTATTATTCAGGCAATCTATTACTCAGGCAAACTAGATATTTCTCTTATTGTACATGGTTCCCTTCAATTTATTGTGTCATTCACTTTTCTAGCCATGATATTAATAATGTATTTTATATGTTTTATTTTTTTTGTTTCTATATCTCGAAGGTAATTATTAAATTTATTCATTTTAATACAATAGTTATGCTCTTTTATGTAGTATTATTGCTAATTGAAATTAACACTGTATTTATTAAAGTCTGTGACAATTAATAATAATCTCTCGATTCAAATTCAGTACGTAATAAACGACAAAATAATGATAAACTTTAGACTGTATTTTTTTATAATTACAAATTCTTTATTAGTAATACAATTATATTAAGCCATGATGTCGAATAAGATATATAAATTACGAAATCATTTACAGGTATATATAATCTCATTTACGTATTAAACTTTGTAATGATTATGCAGTAGTGAAATTATGTTAGTATTTTATGTTTAATATGTAATCGATTTACTATTTGAACATGTTTTATTTTCAATTTTTATTTCAAATCTATTCTTGACTTTTTTAAAGCAGTTCTCTCTGTCTGTCTGTCTGTCTGTCTCTCTCTCTCTCTCTCTCTCTCTCTTTCACGTATGCGCAACTGCGCGTGTTTTTTATATCGTAATATTTATTTCTATATATTTAATTACATATATATTTAATGTAAATATTATACTATATTTTTAATTATGTATAGTATACTATATAGATTGTACTACATCTGTAATAATGTATATTATAACTATAAAAATTTTATCTAACATTTTTATTATTTATTTTCAACACTAAACCGGCAAGCTTATTTGAAGAGAATATTTCAACAACAGGATGCTTTAATCTGTTTAATATTCTTATTCAGTTTTTTTTTTATACATGAATATGGATGGATATATATATATTTCAAAATATTTTATGCGATGACCATTTGAATTATGTATAAGAGAATTGATTTTATTATTAATGAAAGTGACTGCCTACGCGTATTATAATACATTAAGAAACGTATTCTAAATATCATTGTTACGTATTTTTGTGATACACTGTATCGACTATAATAACGGAGACCTGATTTATTTTGCTTACATATCTCATATGTTATTTATTAAATGATATGTTATTTTCATTTATCCCAAATTAACTTATTGTCTTATTACTATTTTATATAGTACTATTTTATTAGTTATAATACTAATTTGTCTTATTTAATTTATCACTATCGTTTATATATCATATATATTTACATTTTCTTATACGCACATTAGTAATATTATTCAATCTACTATTATCTATATTGCAGACACTCACATATTTAAATTCTTGATTATTATCTTTAAACAGAACTATCATTTTATGGATAATAAGTGTAAGATGACGTTTATAATTAAGTTTAATTAATAGTGTACATATGTGCGCGCGTCGATATCGAGAGGTAAAAACCATAGAAAGATTTAACTATGAATTTATACAAAAGTCTATCCAAAAAGTTAAAAGTAGTCAATAAGGTCAAAATATTTCTATATGTTTTATGAAAATTTATGTTTACGAACAAAAGCAATATTAATAAAAAGCAATTGAAAATGTTGCTTCCATTCATGCCATACAGGGAAGAAAAGTTGTATTTAGAAATAATATATTTCTTATAGCTGAAGAATAATCAATAATAAAGTGTATACAGCACATCGAATCCATTATATATCATTTTAAAAATCGTTAAAAAAACATTCCATAAAAATAAGGTAAACAAATTAATAATTTATAAAGTGAAATAAAGTATAATATTTTATAAATTTAAGTATTATCGATAAATAATAATTTTAATGATCTCCTGTGCATCTCAAAATTGAATAATTGATATAAACTGTTTTCCCTTTATAGAGCATCTTGCAGTAAAAGTTTCGCCATTGAATTTCCCTTCATTAGAAGTGATTATAAATTTTCATAATTCATCATTTTTTCTGATACATAAACATACATTATGCATAAAACGTATTTATACTAAGGAGATATTCTTATATGGGGATTTAGGATAAAAGGCTAGAGAACAAAGGTAAAAAATGTTATTTAAGAGCAGCTAACATTGATAAAGATCGATTTTTGCTTTGACTCCATTCAGATATAAGACAATATTAAAATAATTTATAAATAAAAAAGCTTTCATAAAATTTTAAAATTATAACGAAATCAAATTTTCTGTGGCTACAATTCACTGATTTCAATACGTTACTAAAAGCTAAATCACCGAGTCATTGTTTCGTTACGTTCACGGTAATTACTCTTGCATAACTTTATCACACTTTCCTTACATTAATTCTGCAAACTTCTACTATTTTCTTACGGAAGTTTAACAAGATTTTTTTATTATCATTATTAAAAAATTTTATGTAAAATTTAATAGTCTAAAATTATATCATGATTATGAAAGTCTATAATTGGAATTTCAAAAAATATATCTTACGTATATTTCGAGATTGCGTCATAAATTTATTGAATTATAATTATTTTTAATTTTGTTTTAACTAGTTTTAACTAGATTGAAAAATATTCGCTTATCTATATATATTTAAGAAATCAGTGATTTCTTTATTTTTCGACTATTTGATTAGATGTTTTTTATTTAAAATTACTATCAATTAGTAGCTCTTTCATGGCTTTGAATATAACTACGGATCTCTTCGGATTCAATTTTATTCGACTTTACAAGATTCATTTTGTATTTTATAATTTTGGTATAAATTTACAGTTATTTCCATTTTTTTTTATACAGAAAATTTTCTGACAACTATCCTTTTTTCAATTGATATTTAAACTACTACCATACAATATTATTTTCTGCAACCAATAGTTAAAAATAGTATTTAAATATAAATAATTTGCATATTATAGGCAAATATAATATGCCTTATTTTAATTTAAATATTTATTATTTCCATATTGATATAT